AAGGTGGCCAGTGTGATGCTGACCACATCTCCCAATAATTGCTGATTGGTTTATAAAATATAGGTCTAGCCCTACAGGCCTGAAGGTGAGGAAAATTTCCTTCACTTTACTTACTACCATATGCTCATAAAACACAAGTGAACAGCCACACAAACTGCTGGGGTCTTGCTGTGCAATGTTCTGTAATGTAAAGGATAGGCAACTAACTGTTCACTTAGGCTCAGTACATGTCTGCTGTGGAAACAGGACCTGGACCTTCATTCTGTAAACCACAACATGCCAACTGTCTTTTAGAAGGTGAACACTGAAGAAGAAGAAGAAATATGTTTACTCTCCACTTCTGACTGATGGGGCAGGCTCGCAGCATGTTCCAAGTGTATATGGATATTTTAAGGAAGTTCTGGTATCTGGTCACATGGATAGCAGCATCCGTGGGAAGATGTATCAGAGAGATAAAGGACAAAACAGGACGGGCCAAAAAAAAAAACATTTTACCAAGTCCATGCCACGGGAGGTTATAAAAAGACTACTTGCACGCTACACACCGGGCTGTGTATTCTGAACAATTAGTAAACAAGCCAAACAATTTCTGGATTTTGTTTAAAGAGGTGAGAGCCTGAAGACAACTTATCAGAAAGAGAGTCATGATTTGTTTAGCAACAATGTGAGAAGAAACAAACTGGAACATGCTGCAAACTGAAACAATCTACAAAAAAAAAAAGAGAAAAAGAAAATGTGAGAAGATTCTTTCAAAATGGCAGTTGGCATATTGTGTTGTGGATTAAGCCAGGCTGCAATGTCGGCACCTTTTAGCCCTACACATCTAGTTTCAGCAAAACCCGATTATCTGCCTTTTACCTATCTTGAGGTTAACTGGTTCAGGTCGAGCGGGTCGACTTCACTGTACAGAGTTTATCCTTGGTCTTTCTTTGCGTCACACAAAGCACAAATACCATAGCTTTGGTGACGATCCCTGGCGGTCTCTAAAAATGTTACTCGTGAACCAAACAGCACAGCATGAAACAAATCAATGGCCTTTAGGCCTGACACTGCCACGGTTCAAAAAAAAAAAAAACAGGGAGAGAGGGGGCTTTTTTCAACAGTAGTGCATTTGGCTACGTCCACTTTTTTTTTTTTTTTTTACTAATCATTACTAGGTGGGTGATGTGGTCAACATCAACTACCTTTGCTTCTCATGACATTTCCTTGTACCCATTATAGGCTGGGTCAGCTTGTACCCAATATAGGCTGGGAGCTGAGGTCAATTTTGACAGAAATCAGCCTCAATGTGGATGGAATCAAACCCAAGGCTGGTAGGCGAGTGTCCAGGTGCTGTGTCACCACAGCTCTCACTGTGTAGAATGCTGATCCTTTGTATAAAGGCCTAATAGGCAATCAATGGATGATGAATATTAAGCGACCACCTTCATCATCATGTTCCGTGCCAATAATCGTAAGCCTTTATCATCATGTGCTGTGCCAACAAGAGAAGGCTGCCAAGTTTTCCCACCTCACATGTTCACCAGAATCATGGATCAGACTGCCTTCACTTCCCAGAAAAGGTCCTGGTACAAACCCGAGGCTGGATCAATAAGAAGTGTGGATCATCTGTCATGAGGGATATTGGAAGACACAAACTCCTGGCAAGCGAGCCAATCACTGTGATACCACTGCTCCCTGTTCTACCTAGGTCAAGCTTAACTGTAATACAGTGGGTTTGGGGGACAGATGAACAAATGAGTATACATCAGACAGAAATTAACTCTTATACATACTGCCGTTGAACCAGTGTCACAGACTTGCACACTGTATGTTTTTTTTTTTTTTTTTAATTTAATCATTAATTTCACCAATTTATGCAACAATAGAAATGAAATAGTTAAATTAGTGAAGCTGGTGGTTCAGTGGTTAGCTTCACAGCTGGAGACACTAGTTTGAAGCCTGGTAGAACATATATAAAAAAAAAAAAAAAATCAAAGGCAAGTTATTAGCCCAACAATGTTGAATTTTTAAGGACTACCTAGGGGTAGTCTACCAACCCAGAGGAAATCTACCGACAAAAGAAGCAGTCCACATTTCAGCGACCCAAAAGAAGTGCAATGCTAACCATGCTTCTCATTACCAAATGATGATTAATTGATCACCTGCAGGCTCAGAGTTTACCACCGCAGACTCAGAAATCATCTATTTAAAATGACATTGATATGTGGTTGGTCATACTTGTGGTTTTAATTTAAAATATGACTTTCTCCTACTTCTCTCTTAATCTCCTAAAGCATCATGACTCTCAACTGATAAGGATCAACCTTTGCTATCTCAAACAGCTCATTCATTCATCCTTTCCGCTTTATTCAGCTATCCCTATTCTCTTCTGCATGTGTTTCAAGTCTTCCTTTTGTCTTTGCCCACTGTGGGTTCCAGTGCAGGTACATTACAGTTATGCTATGATCAGTTTTTCTCAATGTGTTTTACACATTGAAATTTATTTTGTTCTTTTCCAAGTTCTAAGTCAATTATGTCATACCATCTTTGCGCACAGGCTAACGAATGTTTAAATAATGCGACACAAACAATACCTTGCACAATTTATTGCCTGACATATTTCACTGTATTCTGTCAGTGGAAAATGAAATATGCCAAGCAATATATTGTACGATGTATTGTGTCTGCGTTAACCACATTCTCTACTGAAAAACCGCGTTTTGAATTTTATGAAGTTTCGAAGTTGATGGATAATTTTTTTGAATAGTTCTCCATGATTCGGCCCCCATACAGCAGTAGTGATTTGGCATCAGAGAGAAATATTTGTAGTTTGGTGGTTTTAATATAAAACGCAACCCTGGTTGATTTGAACAATCAAGACATTTTAAACAATATTCATTATCAACACCTTCTGATAGCAGTGCAGAACATGTTCTCAGCCTTTTTTTATCAGAATATTTCTTGTGTGGGTTCAAGGTTCTTATATGGACGGGGGCGGGGTATTTTGAAATAGGCGACTCCAAAGTTGGAGTGCATCTACCTGGCAAGGAATTAACAATCTGCTTCTGTAAAGTGGCTGTTGCATGCAAAAGTCAAGTTCTGGAACCAGACTAAAGTTCAGAAGTGGACAAACAACCAGAACTTTCGGCCAGAGTTTACTGCTAAGAAAAAGAAAAGATAAGAATGTGGAGAATATCATGGACTAAGAAAGAAATACTCATAACCTTAAGAAACTGAAAAACAATTATGGAGCATGTCAGCACATGAAGAATAATAGAATAATACAGAAATGAGTTTTATGTGAGGAAAATACTTGGCAAAAGAGGCAGATAAAATTAGTATATGTGGAAAGCTTAAACAGTCGGAGAACAGTAATATATCTCCACCTTCTCCATTTTAGGAGAGGGGAGGGAGTAGACTTACTGAACAAGTAACATTCTTGAAATTAGTTGCATATCCTTTACAGGAAGCTGCAGACATAAACTCAGCATTTTTTGCTTAACAAGCAAGTGGTTACAAGTGTCCCCTTTCCTGTGTGGGTTCTGGGGCTCCGTTGAGGGGTAAAGAAGGACAGAACCACTGCCTCCATAACAAGCGTGTTGTAAAACGTGAGTTGGCTGAAATTGGATGTTGGCCAGGAAGGCACTGCTCCTGCAGCCTAGCTGTATACCACAACACGTGTAAACCTCTCTTTCAAGAGAGAACACAGAAAAAGAATATATCTTCATCAAAATATTTACAGAGAGGACTGGAGAGTTAGGGTTAGTACATATCTGCTCCAGAAAAGGTAAATGAAGAAGAAGAGGGGGAGGTGGAAGAGTAAGAAGTAGAAAAAGAAGAAAACAGAAGAAGAAGAAGATTGAACAAGAAAAAGAGTTGCAGCAGCAGCAGAAGTCTACAGTATAGTTTTCTGAGGTAGAGAAAAGCCTCTCTTCTTTTACAACATTTAACATCTGTAAATGATAACAAGAAGTTGAAGTACATAAAGCTGAGCCACGGATAATGGAGAACAGTGGTGGCTCCCTTGTGCCATGATGTTGATCAATTGTATAGACCCAACCAAACCAATATGAGCCACACAAGGAAACCAGACACATGCAAAAGGCAGGCAGGTGAGCATCTAGCCACTACACTACGGCAGCTCTCCAAGTAAGTTAGACCAACCAAATAATCCCAGAAAGCTCAGCTACCAAATGGTGTGCACTAAATATCACTAAGTGTGCAACTGCCAAAATGAGACTATTTTCAAACAGTAGAACCTAAGGATACAAATTTAATCTGTTCTATGACAGAGCACAAATGATGAATAATTTGCATCCTGAAACTATTTTTTCCATCAATGTAAATAATTTTAATTCATTCCAGCCAGTCAAAAATCACACTATTAGTTTCAAAATGATGTTTTCATTTCGTTAACAGATAAAATGTGGGGTGCTGCTTTTTTTCTTCTTTTCTGCAGCGAAAAATGGGGTTACTTCCAGCCATGATGCTACTGTCCGTCATCATCATGAAGTGCCTTGTTGACCCACTAAAGGCTTCATTTAGCAACACTGACTTAATCTATTTAAAAGTTACCGAGATGCTGGTCGGGTAACGCCGAGAGATCTCCTATCCTGAGGTTCTACTGTATGGATAATGTTTGTGGAACACAATCAATTGGTCAAGGAAGAACGGAAACCGGGCACTGCCAGCCTGCTGGTAATAACCAGCCAGTTTCTGGTTCCTAGCTACAGATACAACAGTGACGACCACTTACAGGTCATACACTCTTAGAAAAACAGCAAAAGCAGTTTCCACCACTGACTGTAACAGCACTGATAACAATAAAACTCACTGGAAGGATGTAGCAGTTCACAGTTCTTACAAGTACAAGCCCCTCTGCCCTAAAAGATCTGAGCAAAAAAAAAAAAAAAACAGAGAGACAGTAAGAGACAGACAGACAGACATACAGAGAGAGAGAGAAGAAAAACAGTTTGTATTTGAAGTTTTTTCATGATAACGGTCCAACTAGGCATATTTTATATCGGTGACTTGGGGGTGTAGTCTGATGCGTTGGGGTTTAACTCTGATGTGGATGCCAAGTCGGGGCTGTTAAAAACCTGCATGCTGGCATTCCGGTCATGAGCTGGGCTGAAACTGGAGGAGAAGAGTGGGGATGAGTTGCGTTCGTTTGTGTGATGAGAGTAGGAGGTCACTGCAGGGCTAGGGATCAAGGCCATGACTTCAGCAATCTTGGACTTCAGCTCCACAATCTCATTGTCTTTTTCAGCAACAGTAACTGCAACAGTTTCAGAGAAAACAAAGTTAACAATGAACAACTCTTGCAATAAGCTCATGTCACTGAAGTTAGAACAAGAATTCCAGCATTTTAAACAGATCTTCCCTACCAGTTCTGGGCCACAGAGTGGAAAAAAGGGGAGGTGGGGTTAAAAAGGGAATTTTTCGAGAATCTGTTTAAACTGGATCTTTTGGGCTGACAGGCAGAGATGTAACAGCCTAGCTGTAAACCACAACATAACATACCAACTGCCCTTTAGAAGGTTAACAATAAAGAAGAAATATGCCTATCTGTGACTACTGATTAACGGGATAGGCCAACAGCCTGTTACGAGCGTGTGTGGATAATTTAACGGAAGTCTCAAGTATCTGGGCATATGGATAGCAGCATCCCAGGGAAGCTATATCACAGAGATAAAGGACAAAACAGGACAGGCCAAAAAAAATTTTAAAAACTGCATTTTATAAAGTCCATGTCATGGGAGATTATAAAAAGAATACTTGCTACACAGGGTTGTGAATCCTGGACTATTAGTAAACAAGCCAAACAATTTTTTGACATTTTTAAAAAGAGATGAGGCCCTGAAGACAACTTATCACATATCAAAAAGACTACAATTTTTTCGCCACAATGTTAGAAGAAAAAAAACGGGAACATGTGAACTGAAAAAATCTGTGGAAAGATGACGAAAATCTAAAATTCTTTTCAAACAGTAGCTGGAATGTTCTGTTGTGATTTACAGTCAGGCTGCAACATCTGCACCTTTTGGCCCTACACATCCAGTTTCTGAAAAGCCCTAATTATTTGCCTGTTATAAATGGGCTATGAGTCCCATGCCTCCTTATACCGCAATATATAACACTATCGTCTGGAAAGACGGAAAGGTGCCAATCAATCAACAACATGTTCGTTAGTGGGGCATTAGGTCTATTCTGTTTTCCCTCAAAATGGGCCTCAGAATTCACACAGGGAGCTATTTAATCTTGAGCAGATTTGTTTACAGGCATATTATATAGAATTTTTTTTTTACATGTGACTATAGGGCATGAACAATTAGTAAACAATCAATCAAAGCATAACAACCACAGAATGTGATTTTTGCAAAGAGAATACTAAAAAATACCTCAGACAACTAAAATAAGTAATATTCTTATCAATCTTCTTTGCACTCCCCACCTGTAAACTTTGACAAAGTCTGCTTGTTCCTCCACTTCTAGTCACTGGTCTTGTTCCAGGACTTGAAAGTTCAGTGCACATTTGCTTTACACATCTGGTTTATTAAATGCACAGATTTGATCCCTCACCTCTCAGGCACATACATTTCAACATGGATCCTATCTACACCAGCCAGACCCCTGGTTGTAAACTTGTTCCTAGAATGACCACAGAGAGGTCTAGAAAGTTCTTGACCAGTACGAGTCCTGGTCCACCACCTTTGCTTCCAGAAAGTGATCTGTTTGAAAGCACAACCAATACAAAGACAACTTATCACAAACAGCAGGAAAAGGCAGCTGACACTTTTCAGCAACACTAACAGGAAAACCCATTTACATAATGTAAAAACCAGCAATACGGAAAGATAGAAAATTTCCAACAGTTCTTTACTTATTTTGACCACTGAGCATGCACACAAATGGTAAAAAGCATAACAAACTCACTCTGTAAAATTTTTATTTCATTTCTCTCCTTGCCGAGGGCTGAGAAGAGATCTTGTTTAAACCGGGTCTCAGCACACAGGTTATTTTCTAGTTCTACATTCTTATCTTGCATGTTAGACAAAGCCTTCATCAGCACTTCTGTTTCTTTCTGGGCATCTTTGTACTGTCTCAGTGACTGCAATCAAAAAGAACAGTTCAGTATACAGAAATCAGTAGCTCTGTCTGTCTCTCAATTGTAGATACAACAAATAATACCCCTGCAAAGACAAGTGACTTCTAGATAAAATAATATTCACATTTTTTAGACACATTAGCAGGCAATGGGTGATGTGACGCTGTTTACTTTCCAGAACATGTTACCTGGTACTCATTTAAGACCTGATAGCAATGAATAACTCTGCCTTAATGCAGATGTGAACCCTAAACATTTGGCCTGGCAGATGAATGTCTAGCCTACACTGACTACCAAAAAATATGCCTGAAGTAAATGAGGAAAAACATATTAACAAAAATTAAAAGGACAAAGTGCTGCCATTATCTATAAACAGTTCCCAATTCAATATTACCCACACATTCCCTCTTACTTCTGATGGTGCTCACATTTTAATAGTCATATTTAACAAAAATAACATAAAAAGAAATGAGGAAACCTATCAAAAGCACACAAAACTGAGGGATGAAGTTTTTTCCATGATTCCTTACATTTGTTCTGCTGATCTATAACCACTGACTTATAACAAGAAATGTTTCATCAGAAATTAGAGGATGCATAATGGACAAGACATGTATACATCAGAAATCAATGCATAAATCAGAAATCAGATACTTAAGTGACAAGAGGTGTTTAATTAGAAATTAGACAATGCGTAAGTGACAAGACATGCTTAATAGATATCAGTCGACAGATTATCATAATCACACATCGAACCCTTCAGTCCATAAGTGCTCAGATCCCTTCTTCAATATCTACCCCAGCATGTATTGGCTTATGACACCAGTTCTGTGTTGGTTTACTATTCTTCTTTGGATCCCTGTGTAGCGCTCTAGTCTGGCTTCACCTCTTTAGTTGTTATGTTCATGTAGTCTCGCCAGTGTTGCAGATTCACAATCATTACTTGATTTGTTTAATCAAGCCGCCTCTCTGAGGGCATTCAGTAGATCAGCACTGAACGCTGCTCGTTGTTTCCTACATGAGCATCAACTACAAGTCTGTCAGCTCGTTCACTGCCCTTTACACCCAGAATGCCCCGGAACAAATATGACTTTTTGTCAACCTTGATCTATTTAGGGACCCCCACCCATTGTCTTCGTAGGTAACACTTCTCGATCTTCTTCATCAGAAATTAGACAATGCATAAGTGACAAGACATGCTTAATCAGAAATTAGAGGATGTGTGTGTGACAATACACATGTTTAATCAGAAATTAGAGGTTGCCTAAGTAAGAAGATGTGCTTAATCAGAAATTAGAGGATGTATAAGTGACCATGTGGTGGTCAATCAGAGGCAGCCCAAGAGTGACCAGAAACATGATCCAGCATGAATCAGTGACAAGAAACATTTTCAATCTGAAAATCTGATTGGAAGATGTGTGAGGCACGACCGGCTCCAGCTGACCGGCCGTGCTGCTGACGTCATCGGGTCGGGTTAACAACGCATTAACGCAGCGGTTCTAAAACAAGAAATAAACTTTTCTCGACAGTGGAGGGGCAAGACAACTTAAATTTTAACTTTTAAGTATCTACAGGCCTTCTTTAATAATTTCACAATTTTAGCCGACTTTTCTTGATTATTGCCGCGGCACCTCTGGCATACGCTCACTGTACCCCAAGGTGCCTCGGCCCCCAGTTTGAGAACTGCTGCGTTAACGCATTATTAGCCCGACCCGGTGACGCCAGCAGCATGGCTCGCCAGCAGCATGGCCTGTCAGCTAGAGCTGGTCGTGTGTGAGGCATGCCCCAGCGGGGAAAACCCTGAGAGAAAAACGATGAAAAAAGGGAGAGAAGGCATGCATTGATGATTACCTGTACTTCTCGCTCCAACTGTCTGTATTGTTCCTCCCACATTTTGTTTTCCCGACGAACCTGCTTCAACTCATTGTCAAAATCCCTACGTCTGGCTTTGCAAGCATCTGTACACTCACCTCTTGGAAAAACAATAATTATGCAGTGAGATTTTGGTGGTCTGTATTCTAAACACTTGCGTGAATGAATAAATGAATGAATCAGGAACTGATATCACCGCACATGTACCCCATGCCCTTCCTCAATAGACAACTCAGAGTTCTAATACTGATGGTGCCAGTAGCAACTTGATTACTTCTTTCTTCTTCTTTGCATTCACCAGCTGTAAACTCTGGCAGAAAGTTCTGGCTGTTCATTCACTTCTGGACAGCTGTCATGTTCCAGAACTTGATTGCTGCGTGTGCATCCGTTTGACAAATCTGACTAATTTGTATGCAGACTGTTGGTTCCTTGCCTCTCAGGCAGATGCACCCCGACTTTGAAGGAAGCTCCCAATTAGTATACTCTTACGACATGCTTTTGGGTAGGCAGTGGGTCTATTCTTGTTTTCCCTGTAACAGGGCCCCAGAACCCACACTGGGACAACTTGAATAAAAGTCAGCTAGTCCTTAGGATATGGGTGAGCTGCATGCAACAGCAAATGATCTGGGCGATAAAAGGCAAAAGAAGCCTTTTCTTCTGTGCAGTGAAAACTGCCCAGACCCTCTGCTTAATACTTGCTGAATTAGTCTTTTGAAGTATGGATACTGTGTTTTTCAGTACTGTCCACTTTGATCCCAGTGAACCTTTACCAAGGAAATGAATTACCCCTTCCTGAGGTGCAGAGAAACTTATCTGTCTACCCACTTAAACCCCAAGAAACAAATGTATCTTGCAGCTGTCCGTAATATAAGAAATGTTCATCCTTTATTCTTACTCTCTCACTGCCATGTTCAGTCTTCCATCTTCTATCATACTGCAAGTACCTCGCTGTTATTTTCAGGAGCCATGGTAGTGCAAATGTTAGACACTGTCAGGTGGAAAATCTCTTAGTTTAAATCCGCAGAAAGGCAGATTTTTTTTACATGAGTTTCCAGGTCAATCCAGCTACCAGAAAATACTCTAGAATGTAAATGTGGTCAGTGTACGTAGACTACATCTACATTGACTGCTGTCTGGTCTATAAACATATCGATCTAGCACTGAATGCTTGACGTGCTCAAGGCCAGAGCATGGACTTGTTCTTCCTCTGTGTGCGCCTGTACAAAAGGGGGCTGGGCACTGTGTTAGTGTTTACACCTGAGCTGCAATTGCTGCACTTTTCAGTCCACCTACATCTGATTTTTTTTTAAAGCAAATGTATGTATAGTCAGTCACCCATTATGACATGTCTGTTAAGGGGCAGTGGGTCTATTCGTGTTTTCCCTCAAAATGAGGGCCCTAGAACTAAGCCAGGGAGATTTACCCTTTTAATGATCATCTTTAGTCTTTTACCTTCTACCATGGAGTACAAGTATGTCTGCCCTATACAAGGAGACTGGAAAATTACAGACAAGAACCCACACACGTTACTTCACAGCAATCAGGGTGTCCTCAAATAACTGTTCTATAGGTTGAACAAGTGTGCTGGGATCTGCTCTTGTTGGATTTTCATTTAAAGAGCGGCTTTTTGAGTCATGGCTGTTAATGTTTCAAGCTGTAATCCCGGAGAGAGAGAGAGGGGGAGGCCTAAAAACAATCCCTGCAAGATTAGAAAAATTTGCACACTTGTTAAAAGACTCACCTGGCTGCTGCTGCCATGGCAACTGCACGAGCTGTTTCTAAACATTTATTTTTCTTTTCATTGGCTATCTGCAGCTCCAGGGACGTCCGCAGCTTGCGCTCCTCTGTCAGCTTCTTCTCCAAGGAAACCAGTGTTTGTTTGTCTTGCTGCCGTGATGTGACCAAGTTATGTAATCTGTAATGAGAAGCAGCAATGTACAAAGAGGTACTCAGTAGGGTACTGGAAGATGAGACCAATCTGTACACCAGAACTGGCATTAGCAGAGGATGTGGCCCCGATAGCTAAATCAGAGGCACACCTACAGTCCAACTTACTTGTCTGGGAGGAAGAGCTTGAGAAGAGAGTGATGACTATCGGTATCTCTAAAACTAAAACCATGGTGATCTCAAAAGAATAGATGAAATACCAGATCATGGCAGGACAGTATGCACTGGAGCAGGTCAACCAGTTCAAATACCTTGGAGTTGTAAAAGACCGAAAAGGAGGCATTAGGACTGAGCAGGCTACATGAAAAGCAACTGCTGGGAGACTCTTCCAGGCCACAAACCGAGGCTTTCTTAGAAAAAGAGAAATTGGTAAGAGGAAAATGGCTGTTTACCAAATATGGCCGTTTACTGCTCTACCTATGTGCCAGTCCCGACCTACGGGTATGAGTCATGGGCAATGACAACAGCTCACGGAAGCTGCTTCATGCCTCAGAAATGAGATATCTGAGAAAGGTGGTCTAAGTTACAAGAAGGGACAAAGTCCACAATCAGACAATACCCAGGCTTTACAAACCCGAGTGGATCAGTCAGTTACGATGGTTTGGACATGTATGCAGAACAGGAGAAAATCGGCCATCATGGCATGCTAAGAACCAAGGAACCAGATCTCCAGGACGACCTGGGGTCCGCTGGGAAGACAACACCTGACACAGGACTGGAATGGAACTAAGCCACACAAAAAAACTGCTGAGAAGTCTGGCAATCTCTCTGGTAAACCTCTACACCCCAAGGTAAAAGAGGAGCGGCTAACTGAAGTGAAAGTGGCAGAGAGACTTAGAGGCTACAATGTTCACCTCTGGCTTATACAGAGTAGTTCAATGCATGGTCTGCATTTGTGTGGATTGTCACAGTTACAGCTGAGTTACAGTTGAAAAAATTGACTTTAACTGCAAAAGGTTATCCCATATAGCTGAGTCTCTCTTCATAGAATGGCTTCTTCACCTAGAGCATCGCAATTGGGAACATTTAGACTTTCTTTTCTACTATGATAATTATACTTGTCAATTACTCACCACACATACAGACACATGTATAGTAAAACTTCACTAAGACAAACTCGCTTAAGAAGTACACTCGGTTAACATGAACAAAATTTTGATCGCAGCAGGGATGTAATAAACTAAGTCCATGGTTACTAATTACTGGTGTAAGAATCTACACAATAGCACAACGGGCATACACACAGATGCCCCGTCTCCCGCAGCAAATGTCCATGGTTAGCATATTTCACAACATACACTCTTATTTTTCGGTCTTCTGGACTTCAAGTTAACAAGGTTTTACGATACATGGAATAAAGAAAGCTGCAAGTATTTATATATTTAACTGAAAATTCAGTATATGAAACGATCCCCAATTCTAAATTTTGTTATAATTCCTGTCTATTTGACTTCCCCCATAACGACTGACTGACTTCCTACCCCACCAGGACATCACACAAGCGATAAACACCCGATGTCACAAGTGCTGCCATGCGGGTGAGGATCACTGTGGAGAGGTCCTAGAAACCGCGTTCAGCCTTTAGGCCATATTTATGGCCAGGCTATATTGCGGCCCCTGGCAAAAGCTAGAGTGGGGCTTCAAATAACAAAAAATTTCATCTTAAAAAGGACTGGAAGTTAAATTGCTTACTTCTTCCTCCATAAGGCAGTGAAAGACATGTTGCCTGGTTCTCACTAGCACAGAAATGTAGTAATTGGAAAATTTCAAAGGGAAAGAGGGCATTTTTTGTTTGTTTTGGGGTTGTTGCTGTAAATGTGAAATTAAGACTGACAAAACAGTCTGAAAATAAATACTGACTTATTTTGTGTGTTTGGGTTGTTGCTGTAAATGTGAAATTGAGACTGACAAAACAGTCTGAAAATAAATACTGACTTATTTTGTGTGTTTGGGTTGTTGCTGTAAATGTGAAATTGAGACTGACAAAACAGTCTGACAATAAATACTTACTTATTTTGTGTGTTTTGGTTGTTGCTGTAAATGTGAAATTGAGACTGACAAAACAGTCTGACAATAAATACTTACTTATTTTGTGTGTTTGGGTTGTTGCTGTAAATGTGAAATTGAGACTGACAAAACAGTCTGAAAATGAATACTTACTTATTTTGTGTGTTTGGGTTGTTGCTGTAAATGTGAAATTGAGACTGACATAACAGTCTGAAAATGAATACTTACTTATTTTGTGTGTTTGGGTTGTTGCTGTAAATGTGAAATTGAGACTGACAAAACAGTCTGAAAATGAATACTTACTTATTTTGAAGGTTCTCATTGTCCTGTTGAAGCTGGAGCAACTCTGAATGCATGGCTTTCTCCTCAGCTGAAGAAATGCTGACCTGTGACTTTAACTCATGCTCACTGTTACGACTGGCTTGCAGATCTGCTTTTAATTTTTTTATATCTGTTTCTAACCTGCAAACACAAGGTTTTATTTTGTTACGGTTGAATAAAAACAATGAGTAATGAAGATGTTACAAAGAGTACTGATTACTCATACCAGAAGGAGACAATCTACATTCTCTGGTCATGTCTTCAGAAGGAGCAAACTGGAGGGCATCATAACAGTTGGAAAGTTATAGGGAAAAAGAGCCAGAGGAAGACTGAGAGAGAAGATGCTGGAAAGTCTGACATCACACCATGAAAGATTATGTATATCAGAACTGACTAAAAGTACATGAGACGGAAGACTTATGGATAGATACGACTACCAATGCCTCTAAAAAAAAATATTAAAAACATAACACTACAGCACTCAAGGGAAACATAAAAGTGTTCAGTCTTCTCCAAAAGATGCCAAAATGTTATCCAAGTGAGCAAACTCAATTTTGCTTTAGATTTAAAGTCAAGAAGTGACAATGTAGCCTATCAAACAAAACATTCAGCAACTGTTTCTTTGCACCATGTATTTCAGCAAACTGTTTCTTTCTACAGTGTATTTCAGCAACTGTTTCTTTGTAACAAGCACTTCCTGGACTGGGTAAAAATAAGTTTTCAAAACATCGCATAATTAGCCTTCTTATTGAATTAATTATTATAGCAAGTGTTTGTACCCAGTATTACAACATTCTTGTGTACCAAGAGTCAGAGCAACTGTTTCTGTGTATCATCTATTTCAGCAACTGTGTCTTTGTACCAAATATCACAGCAACTGTTTCTTTGAAATTATTTTACAGCATCTCTTTGTACAAAGTATTTAACAGCAACATATCATTCTACCAAGTATCACAGCAACTGTTTCTTTGTACTAAGTATTTCAGCAGTCTTTTCTTTGTACTAGAGGAGCCGCGTTAGCGCAGTCGATAGGAGGCTCGCTTACAAATCCAGCAGTGACTCGCTGCAGCTACGGTGGGTGTTCGAAACCGGGTGGTTCCCATGGTTCACCCAGCCTCTAGGAAATGGGTACCAGAGTGACACTCTGGGGTAAATGAGGGAACGTCGCTGTAGCTACAGTTACGTGCGGACGGTGACACATGGTGGCAGAGTACTTATGGTTTATAACCATGTGCAATGATGCTGGTTCACTTTTCCAGACTTTACCTTTACCTTTTCTTTGTACTAATTATTTTACAACTGTTTTTACAAAATATTTTACAGCAACCTATCTTTGTACCAAGCCCTTCTTTGATGGTTTGGCTCACTAATAATAAAAGTTTCTGAAACATTACATAATTAATCTTTTGTTGCAGTTTGACATGCCTGCCTTAAAGTCTTGTTTAGTCTTTGCTCTACCCTGGGTTTAGATGTACCTAAGTCTCTTTCAGTCTTTGCTCTTCTACCCTAGGGCGTAGATGTACCTTAGTCTTGTTTAGTCTGTCCTTTTCTACCATGGGGCGTAGATGAACCTTAGTCTTGTTCATTCTTTCTTCTTCTACCCTGGGGCATAGATGTACCTTAGTCTTGTTTAGTCTTTCCTCTTCTACCCTAGTGCAGAGTGGCCAGCAGGTGCTACAGAGGCTGAAGTCCAACAGTTGATTTATAACAATTCACGCCCAGGTGATTTGATTATCTATAAAAATGGTTTGGTGTTGAAAGGAAATAGAAGTGCCTGGGGATTTGAAGAGAAAGCCAATGGAAAATCTTTAGTGAAAGACAGCCTAGCATACAACATCACAACATCTGAAGGCATGCTGAGAAAGATGAAGACAGGGGTGGTTTGAGCCGAGTGGCAAGCTTCACTGGGAAAGTCATGGGTAGTGAGCATACTTTGGATCTTTTCTCCAGGCTATGCTAGCGTAGTGGGTAATGAACAGGCAGACAGATTAGCTGGATTTGCACCACTGGGTGGTGAATTGATACATAACAAGGCAGATGTGGTCAAGACCCTTTGGGAACAAGCAACGGAATCAGTAGAGAAACAAGATTATTATGGCCTGGAGTAAATGAGGCACATGGGTCTAACCAGAGGATCTTGCCGGCTCACTACACTCAGAGAAAAAGCAAGACGGGCATATAACCAGATTGTGACCAGTACCATCAGTATTGGAACTCTGCGCTATCTGCTGAAGATGAGGACAGAGCATGCATGGAAATGCCCAGAGTGCTGTGATGTCAATTCTTGACTCAACTCCTCTTCTACCCTGGGGCGTAGACGTACCTTAGTCTTGTTTAGTCTTTGTTCTTCTATCCTGGGGCGTAGATGTACCTTACAGTCTTGTTTATTCTTTCCTCTTCTACTCTGGGGCATAGATGTATCTTAGTCTTGTTTAGTCTTTGCTCTTCTATCCTGGGGTGTAGATGAACCTTACAGTCTTGTTTAGATAGTCTTCTTCTCCCCTGGGGCGTAGATGTACCCTAGTCTTGTTTAGTCTTTTCTTTCCTACCCTTCAGCGTAGATACACATTAAAGTCTTGTTTAGTCTTTCCTCTTCTACTCTGAAGCATAGATGTATCTTAGTCTTGTTTAGTCTTTGCTCTTCTATCCTGTGGCGTAGACGTACCGTAGTCTTGTTTATTCTTTCCTCTTCTACTCTGGCGCATAGATGTATCTTAGTCTTGTTTAGTCTTTGCTCTTCTATCCTGGGGCGTAGATGAACCTTACAGTCTTGTTTAGATTGTCTTCTTCTACCCTGGGGAGGGTGGGTGGGGGGGGGGGGGGGGGAATGTACCCTAGTCTTGTTTAGTCTTTCCTTTCCTACCCTTCAGCGTAGATACACATTACAGTGTTGTTTAGTCTTTCCTCTTCTACCTTGGAATGTAGAAGCACCTTAAAGTCTTTTCACTTCCGTAAAAGAAATAGTAAACTTCACCCTTAATTATAAGAGAGCCTTGCACTTTATTAAATTAATTATAAAAGAAAGAGGGATTTTCGGCACATAATTATAAGAGAAACAGAGACCTTCGCCTTATAACAGAAACAAGGACCTTCAGCTTATAATTAAACATAAATTTTAAACTTACTATTATAAGAGAAACAAGGATCTTTGGCTTACAATTACAATTAAAAACAGCAGAAACAAGGACCTTCAACTTATAATTAAACATAAATTTTAAACTTACTATTATAAGAGAAACAAGGATCTTTGGCTTACAATTACAATTAAAAACAGGGACCTTCACCTTACATTTCAAAAGAAACAGACCCTTCACCTTATAAAAGATACAGTCACCTTCACCTTATGAATACAACAGAAACAGGTGAAAAAAACAAATGTGATTGGAGATTTAAACAAATGACAACGTATAACTCACCTCTGAATGACTTCATCTTTATTATTTGCGTATGATACAGATGAGGGTGATGGCTGTATTTCTCTGTACATATTTTTCCCCTTTTTCGATGACGATGAAGACGATGAATGTGTCAAAGATGAATTTAAAGAAGCATTTGAACTACCACTGTCCTTCGAATTGTTTGTCTGTTTGCTGTTAGGTTTGCTGGAGGGCGCTGGGGCAGACGGGACTGCTAGCTGAGTAAATGCCGATGTAACGTTGCTGTTTCCGACCTTGCAACCTTTAGTTGTTTGCTGCTCGTTTACATAATTGTCAGTGCTCTCGTCGAATTGATTAACATTAGATGTTTTCCTAGGCAAGCTCTTTTCTATAAATTCCACTTCATCGTCTTCATTTATATCACCAGTTTTCGAAGACTTTGTTTTCCCTGCACTGGAAGAATTGTCTTTCTCCTCGTCTAATTTTGATGAAACCTTTTTGTTTGCCGGACTTGTTATGCCGTTGGAGATTACATCCTCTTCCGACTTTGACGGTAAAGCTGCCAGATGCCAACAATTGGAAAATATATATATATATGTCAGATGAAAACAGAACAAATACATTGTACAAAATGCTATGTGGTGCGTAAATGACATTTTGTGACAGAAGACTGAAAAAGATCAGTGAATTTATGTATTGTTATTTGTAATTTTATCACTGAAAGTCTGTGATGTATGCTGATGAAGGCGTGTGCTACAATGTTATCTTCGTCGCTCGTGACCATCAAGGGGACTTACACATGTAAGTGTTGGTAGCAGGTAACAATTACACACTGGAGAGGGTATTATGAGATGTTTTCCTCCTTGTCGCTTCGCTGTTGAGAGTTTGTGCACGCAGCTAGCATTGTAGTACTAGTAACTGGTAGCTTTATCGTGTTACAGTTTCTGCATGAGTGGCACAAGTATGCAGCAAGCGTTCTTTTCCCTATGTTCAAGAAGTAAACCAGGTGGTGTATTGTAATTAACAGTAAACAGCATTACCCAATAGTAAAATAATTTTCTGTATGTGACAACATAAAGTTTAAGCGGCAACGAAAGTTGTCACATCCATGTCGGGCCACTGGTGACTGGTATTAAAAAGCAGACTAGTTCTGTTTCTCATCTGGGTTGATATTTTTTTCGTGACATTAGACACATGAGACACACATACATACAGACGTACCTTTTGGTTTACTATCGGCATACTGTATCTCTGCAGGTAATGCCTGTTGTAAAATCTGTAGGTAGAAGTCGTTTTCTTTCTGTATAACTTTTTGTCGACGCTGGCAAAGTCAAGGACACAATTCATTAACAAATTTATCCAATCTATTATCAGCAGATACATAAACTAGAATTAGAACTGATCAAATCTGGCAGCGTGTGTGAATACATTATTAACCTGTCTTCAAAGGTATGGTTGGCCAAATGGATAAGAGTGATGGACTCTCATGAAAAGATCCAGGTCTGAACCAACTGCAAGGTTCTGGTTTGTGTGTGTGTGTGTGCTGGGGAACAACAACAAAATCATAACCTGCAGTCACTGCACTAGCTGTCTGAACCTAAATCTTTAGACTCAACATCCCCCCTCCCCCCCAAAAAAAAGTCAGTAATGGCATTAACCCATCTTCAATATGATTTACAGTGCTCACCTTTGATCTTGCTACAGCCGTTAATTAACTGACTTTACTCTCTCTATGAACAATTGTTACACAACCGACTTGGCTCTTATAAATAAAAAAAAATAACAGATTTGTTTGTGAATCTTTAAATAAGGAGGGAAAATAAAGACTGTGCTATTGGAGAAAAAACAAGAATATTTGGTTAATCAGACTTGCAAAGATAAAATAAGAGAAAAGAAGTAGGTAGAGGGAAAACACTGCCTCCCTTAAAGGAAGTAACTCAGAAAGTGCGACTAGTTAATCAAGATAAGACACATCATTCATGGTAATGACAACAAAGGGAATGGATAAAATATGAAAATTTAATTTTTACAAAATCTGGAAACATAAAAGTACTTGGGTACACATTTTAACTGCTCTAACATACTAAAATAAATATACTCTAGATTACAATCTGGAAATAAGATTGACTATGCCCTACAACATGTAGTAAATCAAATGCTCTATTTTGTAACATAGAACCCCCAATATATAAAATACTGATTGCATCAATTATTCTATATGTTTCTGGGCTCTGAAAACTGGAGTACCTCTAAACAAGACAAAAAATTACGAAAATGTGTAGTCTTGCGATGAATAGTTCGACCCATCAAAGACTCAAACAGCTGTGAGTGGAGAATGAAAAGCAACAAGGAAATTCATTATCTGTTTTAAAAAAAACAATCAATTACTGGCATCATAGGACTGGAATGGTTGGAGCATGGGAAGAGAATGGTATATAAGAGACAGACAAAAACTGCATGCACAAATGAGCTGAACAGGAGCAGACAGACTAAGAAGACAGTGGAGATACTCCGGCAACCCTACAAACACTTGAGGTCACCAATTGGAAAGACAACATGCCAACATCCTGTAAGTGGTGAAGGCTGAAGAAGAATATCTGAAACTGGTACCAATTCTTCTTCTTAGCATTCACATTCACTCTGGACTTTAGCCTGGTTCTAGAACTTGAAATTTGCGTGCACATCTGTTTTACAGATCTCTGACTTAAAAGGAAAGATCACTAATTAGTTACCTTTAACGACATGCTTGACAGCGAAGAAGTGGGTTCATTCTCTTTTCTCCCTAAAATGGTGTACAAGACTCACATAGGGAAAACTGTTACCAATTAAAGCATTGGCCACAATACTTACCAATCTCATTCTGTAGGAAATGTAACTTTTAAAACCAAAACCCAAAGTTACAACTGGATACCCAATACTGCAAAAACAACAACAAAACAAAAAAGATACAAGTTAACAATCCGTCAAATTATTAACTGGTATCAAGAAAAAAACTTAATTGTAATCAACACAATATGATAATGTCTACATTTAATATCACAATCAAAGACACTGCAAACTGGATATCCCCATGTGTTCTCAGACCTTAGATGCAGTCGCTGCTCTAAGGTACCAGGCGAAGTAATGTCACATATCCTGACCTCAAAGCTGGCATAAACATGCTTTATGGCCTGTTGCTGTTTACAGTTAGGCTGCAACACCTACGCTTTTCAGCCCAACAAATCTGAATTCAGCAAGTCCTTAATTAGTTGCCTCTTTACTATGTGCTTTTTTAAGGGCAGTGGATCTACCCCCCCCCCTTTTCCCCTAATAAGGTCCTGGAAAAAACAAAGCGTGTCCAGAATTTACAGCCACATACAAGGCGCATTTTTAAGTAAGTCCCAGTATAAACATTATTTTTAAAAACCATCATACATAAAAATGATTTATTGTGAACAACACATTTACATTATTTCTCAACATAGTCACCATTGACTTTTTTGGTATCGTGGCACCAGCTTCTTAATTACAATGTCACAGGAGTCTGCCGCCAGTGTCTTGAACCATTCATTAACACCTATTTGCAGCTAATCATCAGTTTCAAACCGCTGGGATGCCAGCCACTTCTTTAGGTGCATGAAAAGGCGCCAGATAGGGGCTGTAGGGCGGAGGTGATCAACAATTTCCCAGGGAAATTCATCTCCTTCTGCGCTGCAAACAATTTTGAGACCCTAAGCCAGGCGTTATTGTGTTTATCAGTTAACATTTTCTGTACTCATCTGGCACACAGTTTTTTTGCATCCAAGGTTTCGCACTTTTCTCAGTTAGTCGGTCAATTGACAGACTATCCTCAGTGCATATCAAACAAGTAATTAAGTGCTTGGATCCCATCAGTACATCCATCAGTGTGCGGCGACTAATAACAGTTCTGTGTTGGTTTACTATTCTACTTTGGCTACCTGTATAGTGTTCAAGACTAGCAACACCTCTTTTGACCTGAAGTAGTCTTTTGAATGTTATCTACTCACCGTTATCTCCTGAATCATCCAATCATATGACTCCTTCAGTGCACTGAGAACATCAACCCAGTCCCTTGCCTGTCCTGTACCCAAAGTGACCCTGCCAGGAAGCCCATCAGCTCATTCATTCCTTTTTACCTCAGAGTGCCCTGGCACAAAAATTAAACTGATTCCTGTGACACAATTTTTCCTCTGCAAATCCAACTACTGTCTTCAAACCCATCCTGTCTCGAACTTCTCTATTATGTTCATGAAACCACTTAGAAAGCATGCATAGGTAAAATGTGGTGTCTGTAGTCACATCATTGCCTTTGTTACCACCTATACATCTAGCCAGTCATCACTGCCTTCTCAAGACAGCCCAAACCAAGTTTTTTTCTACACCACAAGGACACCTTTCCCACAAACATACACAACACTGTAGACAGAAGACAACCCTAGCAACACAACCCCCCCCCCCAACCCAAATTCTTGACTTACCAGTGACAGGCAAAAGGTCTACAAAGGTCTAAATTGAATGGCAAACTCTTAAGCTCCCGCAGTCGAATTGATGCCTCGATATACACAAACAGCAACCAGAGTGAAACCGTGGGAAGACATATGCCTCTCTCTAGGGATATAGCAACAACAAAAGACATTTACAGTGCTATAGAAAACTGGCTGTCAACTTCCCACACTGTCTATAGTGAAGTAAAGAACCCCTTTCCATGCTCTTTGGCATAGTGGGCATATAGTGCTGGTGCTATTTTACAGACCAATCGGGTGGTGGGTGATGTCATCAAAATCACGCTTTCCACATTTACTTCCCAAGACTTTACCTGGTACCCATTTTGAGCTAGGGCAATCTGAGAGACAATGTCAATTCATGCCCCCCCCCCCCCCCCCCCCCCCCCCCCCGATTCAGATATGAGCCCACGACCTTCAGCCTACAGGAGAGCGTCTAGCCGCTACACCATGTGCTCCCTCCACACTGCCCACATAGACCTGGCAGAGAGCTGCCTGGCTCATACCTAACTAATATGCATGTTTCTGAGTCTGCAATGAGCAGCGCATACACAAAATACGGTGATTATATATGTTCTAGTCAGGTGTTTGAGGAAATGTTTTTCTTGGTTATAGCTAGATAAAGAACCTACACTAAACCTGGGTTTGAACCGATAACTCATTAGCAGGACTTGTATTCAAAGCACCTGGCCAGCTGCTCCTCTCCCATCTAATGATCCCGGCTACTTCTATCAAGCCAGCAGTTAAAAAATGTAAATGGTACAACCATTTTACTGGGACACAGATTACGTTATCATAAACTGGGTCATGGCTATGTCTCTCGACCTGCTGTTACATCTCTAATGCTCAGATATTACATGTCCGATTTCTGCTGGTATTACTTTCAGTGGTTTTTTTTTCCTTTTTAAATATGACTGAATTATTCAGTAAATAGCATTAGTGATAATTCATCATCATCATGTGCCTTAGTGATAAGCACAGGCAGTCAATCGTTCATGCTTTGCCATCTCATATAATCACCAGAATCACAGATCAGGTCAGTGTTCTTGTCACATCCCCTGTCTCATCTAAATGGCCTAGCCATGCAAGTATTAAACTTTTTGCCTTTCTCTGACTCTTTTTCCATTAATCTTGCCAGTTGTAACTAAGTTTTTGAGTCCATTTCTTCCCATAACATGTCCAAAATATGCTGACAACATTACAACACATACCACCATAACATCTCTAGACAAGCCCTCACAACATCTCCAAATGCACCCTCACAACATCTTCAAAAATGTTCTCATATCTCAAGACATGTCCTAATAACATCTCAAGACATGCCCCTACATCATCAAGACATGTCCCTACATCATCAAGACATGTCCCTACATCATCAAGACATGTCCCTACATCATCTCAAGACATGCTCCTACATCATCTCAAGACATGTCCTACATCATCTCTAGACATGCCCCTACATCATCTCTAGACATGTCCCTACATCATCTCAAGACATGTCCCTACATCATCTCTAGACATCCCTACAACATCTCAAGACATGTCCTAATAACATCTCAAGACATGTCCTAATAACATCTCAAGACATATCCCTACATCAACTATAGACATATCCCTACATCATCTCTAGACATACCCCCTACATCATCTCTAGACATACCCCCTACATCATCTCTAGACATACCCCCTACATCATCTCTAGACATGCCCCTACATCATCTCTAGACATGTCCCTACATCATCTCTAGACATGCCCCTACATCATCTCTAGACATGCCCCTTTATCATCTCTAGACATGCCCCTTTATCATCTCTAGACATGTCTCTACATCATCTCTAGACATGCTCCTACATCATCTCTAGACATGCCCCTTTATCATCTCTAGACATGCCCCTACATCATCTCTAGACATGTCCCTACATCATCTCTAGACATGCCCCTACATCATCTCTAGACATGTCCCCCCACATCATCTCTAGACATACCCCCTACATCATCTCTAGACATACTCTCTACATCATCTCTAGACATGTCTCTACATCATCTCTAGACATGTCCCTACATCATCTCTAGACATGTCCCTACATCATCTCTAGACATGTCCCCACATCATCTCTAGACATGCCCCTTTATCATCTCTAGACATACCCCTTTATCATCTCTAGACATGTCTCTACATCATCTCTAGACATGTCCCCACATCATCTCTAGACATGCACCTACATCATCTCTAGACATGCCCTCATAACATTTCCAGATATGCACCCACAACAGAACAACAACAAATCACGACTTACCAGTGTGCCATACATACTGCACCCACACATAAGTACTAGCGGCAAAGAACAGCCACTGTACTGGTATAAACAGATAGCAGATGACATCCGACGTAATCGCAATGCAGACGAAGAACACAGAAAATGCCTGAAACAAAATCAAGACAAAGTAGTCATTTACTTCACCGCAGACTGGCAAAAATAGGGGGGGGGGAACGTTCAGCCCCAAAATTCCCCAACAGCTATTCAATGAGTGAAACAATCAAATAAAATAAAGAGGTCCTCATTGTTCTTTGAGGTGCATCGCATAGACAAATCTGCACTAGATGGGTGGTGTGGTGTACTTTATGTAGCATGCCTTGGCTTTTAAGGAGATTTTTAAGCATTTATTTAGATGTTCCACACACATCTGATGAGAGAATGAACAAAAGAATGCACACTGCCAGCCCCACAAAGATCGAATGAGATAAAATAAAGTAAAGACAAGGCAGACTGTGTGTCCCATACACAACTATGTAGACTGCATGTCCCGTACACAACTATGTGGAAAGCATGTCTCACTCACAACTATGTAGAAAGCATGTCTCACTCACAACTATGTAGAAAGCATGTCTCACTCACAACTATGTGGAAAGCATGTCTCACTCACAACTATGTAGAAAGCATGTCCCACTCACAACTATGTGGAAAGCATGTCCCACTCACAACTATGTAGAAAGCATGTCTCACTCACAACTATGTAGAAAGCATGTCCCATGCCATGGGTTCCCAGTGCGATTTTTGTCAAATGATACTGGATTCTCATGCCATGAAAAAAAGAATGAATAAATCAACAAGTGACATCTCACTCAGAATTTCCCACACATACTCTTGTCTTTTTTCTCAGTAGCCAACAAGACTTTCCATACTTTAAGTAACAGCTTTCAGGGGGAATACAATTCTGCCCTTTTCCTCTACGCACTGAAAACTGCACAGACACTCAGCTGACTGCCTTCTGAATCAATCTATAGATGTATGGATACTCTGTTCCATGGCACTGTCCACATAATCCCTAAGAGTTTTCACTATCTCTATTTAATTATACAGTAGTTCACCATCCAGAGGAGCAGCAGCAGTCAACCTGCTCATGCATGAGCGTCTTGGGCAGAAAATCCATGCCAAGCTTCTGAGCTGTCTTATCAAGCAATGCAAGCCACTCTGAGTATCCTCACACTTTATATAATCAATATTCTTCCAGTCTGGCACTGCAATATTATAAAATGACATGTTTGTGCATTCTTCCACCCAAAGACAGAAACATTTTACTCTTACCAATCCTTGATATTTGAACGAATCGTAGACACTCCTGATCAGCAACCAAAAAGGCCACAAGTACTCGAACCTAAACTCCAAGATAAAGTCTGCCATCAGAACCAGAGCCCACACCAGCAGAAACCTCAGATACAAAAACGTGCTGGGGATGACAAACACACAAAACTCAGAGCACATCTATATCAAATGAGTCTTGCAAATTCTATTGCATGCACATGTGCCAGAGCATGTCTGGCAATATTACCCAAACTTTGCCAGTCAGAGAGAAGAAATCTGGCAGACAGAAGTGACCCTACAATAGAATTATGTGGCAGTGGTGAAGACATCAAGTGCACTGTCTTGTCTGTGACCATACTTGAGTACAGGCATAGCACACAATGATCACTGGAGACATGCTTTGTTTACACTGTGAACACTGAGTATTGTAACAATGAAATGCCTAAATCTTGTGAAGAAGTCGTGACCTTTCTTAATGTAATCACAGACAGATGTATATGTGCTGTGCTCTGCAGATGAGAAGTTCCAGTTATCAGTCTCTAAGGTGGAAGAAAAGAGAGCTCTGCAACACAACCCTCCCCCCTCCTCCCAGAAACCACAGTGGGAGTTTCCACATCTGACAATAGCAGTAGTGTTGGTAGGAATATGATATTTATCACTTGCTGCTGGACTTCCTTACTGACTTGTGGATGTTTAAACAGTAGGTAAATCATTATCTGCTTTGCCTTTTGTTTCTAGTTCTAGCTGTCAAGTCTTCTGTCTTCTCTGAAACGGTTAGTCATATACACAGATACTTTGCAGGCTAGTGTCTGGTTTTACCACTGATTACTCTACACTTTACACGTGATTTACATTTACATGTCATCAATTCTAGTCTTCTTTGTGTTGACCCATTGTATCTCAATTATTACTTTAACCCATGTTCTAGTTACACTATTTAAACTCCTTACTTCTTTGAGTACATGGCCTCTCATCATAATATGTTTATTGGAGCTGCCTGGCATTGTGTGCTTTTCAGAAAGTCTTAAGCCAAATCCACCAGTAACTTTAACCTACTGTATCCCAACTGTGTATTTAGTTCCTTTTGTCCATGGTGTTATTTAAACCACTACATTACAGACTCAACATTTAAGCTGCTACTGCTATGGAAAAGATGTGTTAAAGAAAGACATGTCTGGGAAAAGGGCAAAGTCTACTTCTTTCCAAAAATTAAATCCTTTATATGTGAAAATTGTAGCACAAAAGTTGCAAATAGTGCGCGAATATCTATTCTGTCTCGTTGTCCTCCATTGTAACTCAGCACGGCTTGTCCGTGATTCTCGTTCCGGGCGAGACATGATGTAACTGCGCAGTTTAATGTAGGCGCATGTCGCCTGGAGACAAATTAACACTAGCAGCCGCCACGATGACGCTCCACTATCCCGACCACCACTTGACCGTGGCGAATGCGAGCATGCTGGTACTTCCGACAGACGAAGTAGCTTCTGTAAATTGTAGACCTTTTTTCCGGCGACTATAGTGCCACCCCCGAGAGTATTCCCCGCGCCGCGCGGAGGGGGCTAAACTAGATGGCTAGGACTCACAAGCAAATACATTGGAGGAAGCGTAGCGGATACTCTCGGAGGTGGCACTATAGCCGGCGATAAGCGGTCCGCAACTTAGATATAACTCCGGCCGTGCCGTAGGATAGCGCTATCGGGAGTATTCTAGCGTGACGGTAATTGTTTTCGTGCGCAGTTAATCCTAGTTTTGCCACCGTGTAATCGCCGTAAAAGAATCTGTTGCGTTTCGCAAAAAGATTGTCGTCCGCAGTTATTCCTACTTTTGACACGGTTGAATCGCCGCAATAGATATGCGAATTTTACATATGAGTGAGGCTCTGTTTGGGTTAACTGTCTGTGTTGCAAGGCTCTGTTTGGGTTAACTGTCTGCGTAGTTCATCTGGGACCGTTATTCGGAACAGAGCCATATATATATATATATATATATATATATATATATATATATATATATAAACTTTTGACAGAAATGAAAACTAAAAGTAACAAGTAACTGGGAAGAACAGGCATAGTGGACTGCATATAATTTATATGGTAGGTGTTGGATATACAGGTTAAAAAGGACTAGAGGCCATTTTATATGCACTGATGCACACTAGGTATATATTGTTAGTGTCATATTTTGTCTATCAACAATTTAATCAGCGTAATGAAATGATGTAGTAGTCTATATCTATATTCCACGTCCGCAGTCATTGTAATTGTTCCCGGAACACCACACCAGTGACCAGGCACCCACTTTTGAATGTGTCTACCTAGATTAGAAGCCAGGAGAAATATTTTATAAATCCCCATAATCAGCTTTATATGAGCCTCTTTTTAAATTAATTTCATTATTATTGTTGTCTACAAAATCAGCTTTTGCTTTTCTGAAAAGTTTAGTAGTATTCAAAGCCTGAATTACTAAACTTTCCCTCAATTCTTGTCAATCAAATCAAACATCGCCGATTAGCAAATCAAAACATAATCGCAAATATGAAGCAGACAAACTGCGTTTTAACTTCATAAACGATAATCATGCCAACTGAATCAACAAATTGCAATCAGTGCCTTCTCATCATATCGCCGAGTCTGAGACCGTCAACTTCAGTCATCGAAATCCTCCTTTCTTTCAATTTTCACTTTCTCCCCAACCTACCTCCCGTAGATACCATCCGTTATCTTGCTCCTTTTCAGCGGACGTCGAATTTTTCCGCAGTCAACATTCCGCGGCCTCTTCATAGTCTTATAAGAAAAACAATCATGAACCTGATGTCGGTAAACTCCAGGGAAAATGGAAACAAAATCAGTTATGAGACGACGGAGAGATGCTAATTTATGAAGGCAGTCCTGGAAGTACAAGCAGGGCCTGGTGTCCTTGCACATGCGCCATTAGCAGACGTCAGCGCTGCATTCTGGGATCTCCATCCACAAACATGGCGCTGCACGTACCACGAGCTCCGGGCTTTGCCCAAATGATGAAAGAAGGTGCCCAGGTAAATCTATAAAAATGTCTTTTATTTTGTTTCTACTATCTACTTTTACGTTTCTCGTAATTTGAGATATGTAAGATTATTGGAGAGTTGTGTACTTTTGCAGCGGACTTGACAAATTGGCAACCAAAAAAAAAAAAAAACGTGATACCGGCTTTCTGTACTGCTTGTGTGGACACGAAAGTCTGGAACATTCTATTAGTGCGACGGAGAAATATTTAAACAATTCGACGCATATTTTTGTTAAATATTTTAACCTGATTTATAAATGGAATAAACAGCGTTCAAGCATTGTTTTTGCTATAAATAAACCTGCTTAAATTCCGTGACTTTTTAGTTGCTACATTGCCATGCATTATCATCATGCAATGCATGTCATTTGAGAGCCCTTGCTTGGAGCCGTTTCGTTTAGGTCGACCTACTCACACAGCCTAAAATAGGTCCCAGGCAGTGAGTGTCCTGGTGAGTAAAGGCGGCTGGCATGCTGGGAAATATTGTTGAGCACTGCCACATTACCAACCGAGGAGCCAATACTCATACTGACTGACAATAGTAGTAGCTACTTCAGTAAAATTTTTAAAATGCCCTCTACACCAATAAAACCAGCACAGTTAGATAGCTGTAAACAATTTCTTTCAAATGGTACCTCATTTAGGCTTGTGTGTCATTTTCATTTCTGAGCTGAGATATGTAGGTTTTGTGTAGGTACTACGTTTTCTTCGATCGATCGGGCACTTCCGGAAACGGAACGGGCTGGGTTGCTACCCATAACAATGTCCGTAAGTTGTCGGTGAATTTTTTCACGATGACTTTTGTGGAAGGCGTTACTGCAGGTTACCATAACAACAGCTGTCTTTTATGTGGTAGTTTTATTTTAAGAAGTTATATTTATTCTTAATACAGATAATGCATTATCAATATTTTTATAGTTATGTTATAGTATTTAATTATTAAATTTGAAATTTTTTTTAAATAAATATTTTAAATGATACATGATATAATTATTATAATTTAATGAATTTATTATTATAATTATATATATATATATATATATATATATATATATATATATATATATATATATATATAGTATAGTACAATAATACATACATACAATACATATATTTAATTATATATATAAAATATACTACACACTATGTGACACATACAGTTAATAGATGTAAAAACAATGTAATTACTATTACAATATTACACCACCCCCCTCCCTTTTCCCATATGATGTTGCATACGCATATAATATGCTTATATAAATATTACTTTCTTACACAGCTCACCATGGAAAATAAAACAGCTTCTGATATGAGAGCATATCTGTCATCCTTTGAGCCAGAGTACCCAGTTAAGAAAGGCTATATAGCCCGACTGATTGTAAATGAGAAATTGACAACTGTAGATATTTGCAGGATGATCAAGGGCATGGTGCAGGTAGCTGAACCAGACAAGCAGATACATGAGGGGAGAGTGAAGGCGTGTATAAATGATATTAAAAGAAATGCTGCCAAAAAAATGAATTACACCAAGCAGTGGGCTGATCTCATCAGTTTTAACCAGCAGCCATTTTTTGTATCCTTTTTGTCTGGAGAATCATTAAGTTCTTCTTCTGCAACATCTACATCAGTTGTGCAGCCTGACCATACATGTGCACCACTCATACAAACTGATCATTCATCCCCACCACTAATTCAGCCAACTGATCATTCATCCCCACCACTCACACCTGTGACACCAGCTGACCATACAACTGATCATGCGCAACACACTTCTGCAACACCATGGATTGACGAGTTACCCTTTAACTCCATTCATAATCATAATGTTTCATTTTCTGTTTCACTGATCTCCAGGTCACCATCACCAAAGCGTTTAAAAAAAGACTGTGACAACTGTGTAGCTAAGCAACGGACAAGTCTGAACATGCTGAAGGAGAACAGGCACTTGCGTTTGCAGATAAGAGCACTTAGAATTCGACATAGAGAGGAAAAGAAACAGATGTCACTGAAAACATTGAATTTGACAATAAAGAGGAAATCGGCATCAGCTGAACTTTGGAGAGTCAAACATTCAAATTTGAACAAACAGTTCCAAGAACAGGAAATGCGGCACAGGAAAAAGGAAATGTCAATTAAAGCAAAACACGAGGAAGAAATAAAGGAACTGACAATTGCCAAAGGAATATTAGAAAGCAAACTGAAGCAATCTGAGAAAAAAATCACTGATTTGGAAAAGAGGAACAAGCAATCGAAAGAACAGTTTTGTGAAATCCAAAAGAAGATTAGCAGTGAATTAGACTATGTAAAAACCAGACTGCAAGAGGAGACAGATCGAAGTAAATACTGGGAAAACGAAGCAGTGGAACAGGCAGATTCTAAGGAAGACAGTGAAGACAGTGACAACATTGTTACAACAAAAGAGGCAGGGAAGTATGATTATAGATTTAGGCAGTGTGTTTATGACTTTTTAATGTGTAATGTTAGTGTTGGGAATATTTCTCGTTTGTTGTCTTCTGTTGCAGGGATAATTTTTGGTAAAGTTTTTTCTCAGATTCCATGTGTGACTACAATAGCACAGATGGCTTACGAACTCGGGGTGCTTGCTAGCATTCAAGCTGGCCAGATGCTGCACGAGTGCGATCTCATCACATTAGCCTGGGATTCCACAACAAAGGCAGGTATACATTATAACGAAGTTCATGTGTCCCTCAAAACAATACTAGGTAGGCAATCATTAACTCTCAATATTAGACCCATTTCAGGTTCATCAGCAGAGGAGCTGTACCAGCATGCAATGGAAGCCTTATCTGATGTCTGCGAGATCTACTGTGCCGCCTTCCAGTTACCCGCAACAGCCATCCTGGAAGAAGTGAAAAGCAAACTGCACAGCACCATGAGCGACAGAGCTGCTGCAAACCACCGAGTATCTGAACGACTCAAAGAGGACTGTGGAGACGGAGACGTGGCCGATTTAAAATGTATGGTGCACCCATTAGACGGCCTTGCCAGATCAGCTCGTGAAGCTCTGCGTAAGCTGGATACTAAGACAGACCAAGATGGTCAGAAATCCTCCTTGGGCTGCCGGGCCGCAACACTGATTCATCAAGTATCCAAACTGAGGTAATGTTTAGTCAGTTTTTATCATTGTGTAGCAAGTCCTGTCTCATGACATCTATTTTATATCATTTTTTTCATGTCTGTGGCAGATTATTCAACATACATGTATTTGGCAGTTTGACAACAGGTAGATATATCATCATATATGGAGCGTAGTGATAATCTGGAAATCATACTAAAAATAATGTAATTTTCATTTTAATGCCTGCAGTAAATCACATAATCATGCACATAACAAGACGTTTTTAATTTTTTTTCCCAGGTACAAAGATGGGTCTGGTGATCCAGCTGCATTCACAGCCTTTTTGAAGACGAAGAATATCAATCCCGGTATCTTCAAACGCTATGTTTGGGAACCGTTTGAATGTCATGTTCAGTATGGCAGCGGTGATATACCTGCATCGAGTCCAGCTGACAGAGTTTGTAAAATGCAGGCTGGGAAAGTTTGTGTGCGCAAAAATTTATGAAGGCCTGACTGATCCGAGTGTCCTTCTACACTTGCAAGTAATGGGCATGTACTCCCGCTTCCTCACAGGACCATGGATGCAGATATTTTACTCAAAGGAGGATGGAAGAGGACACTTCGAAGCAGTAAGAATTTGCTTGTGGTTAATTTTTTTGTCGGCCCCTCGCTGGGGGCTAGTTGGATGATACAATTTGTTTGTCTTGCTTCAGTTTTTGTCTTGATTCAGCAATCTTTCCCTCTGTCCTAGTGTTTTCATATGATTTGCTTATTTTACAGGTTTATTAGGGTACTAGTGTAGATGTGTATTGTTATAAAAAAATTTTTTTAACAATATTTCTTTATCACTCTTTTCAACCAGGTAAAAGAGATAACATCATGTCTTGGCCATCTCACGTCAGTGGAGAAGACTCCGGAATACTTGATCCATGCTGTAACTGATGCGTTTGACAGGGACATGGAGGAGTCTGAGTTAACCAAGCTTCACCATTCTACTAAAGATTACAGTATAGTAGCAAAAAATGTATCATCTGCGTTTATTAAAACATTGCAACAGCAGTTTAAGCCATATTTTGCAGGGGCCTTGTCTAATCCATCTGAAGAAATGATAGCAAGGACATCTTCCGCCCCGGTTCATAATATGGAGGCTGAAAGAATTATGGCAATGTTGGATAGAGCTTTGCAAAGAGCCCCAAATGCCTCCATAGGATTTATTGATGCTAAAATAAAGGCTGTGCAAAACAAAACTTTGCACTGGCTACAGTCATTTGATGACGACTACCAAAACTTTTTGGTCCGTTTTGCAATCCGTTATGGGTCTAAAGTGAGGCAGCATCAAGCTGAGCAACAGAAGAAAAGACAGCAGAAAGATGTCCAGAGGTTAGACAAGACACAAAGAGATGTACATGAAAAAACGATTATCAGACTTTGTGCGTACAGAGTCAGTGTTGTCAGTTCTCGACCTAGAGCTATTTAAAGATGTAGAGTTGAACACAAAGGAGAAGTTGAAAAATATTCTCAACAACGCTAATGCACTGCCAGGTGTGTTACTGCGACACGTCTGGTATGAAGAAGGAGTAGACACTGTCTATATTGAAATGGTAAAGAGCGTGAAAGAAAAAGACAGCCTGAAGACAGTAATAGAGCTGTATTACTGGAAGGAAGATGAAGGACCAACAGATGCCACCTTCAAGATGACTATGACAGAATTTCTGGTAGACTTTGCCACAAAAGAACTGGCATTTTATGAAGATTAAAAATAAAACATAAGTACTTTAAAAAAGAAAACCGATTTAGAAATCATAGAATATTTTTAAAATAATCAAAACCTTATTTTTGGAACATACAAATTTATATCAGAATTGTAATTTTATTATAAAGCTGTCTCAAAGTTTTATTTTAGTTGACGCTCAGTAAAGATAAAGGCTTCTAAGAGTGCAAGTCATCATCACGCTCGCTTGTCAGCCCAATCGACAGCAGCTTTCGTCGGCAGTCAAACACAGACTAATGGACATGGTGAGTAGCTATAACGACATGTTTAATTGTTTAAACAAAATGTAATACTTTATAATAATCATTACATACCATCTGGGACGTATGAACATATATCAGCTGTGAATAGATTTCAAACCCTCTTTTTTCAGGTGTATATTTTGCAATTTTAATTGAACTATTTTCTGAAAACCCCACTTAATCATGTGCTAATAGTTACATTCCTTCTTTAAGAGCCAAGGTAAACAATGTAAACCCAGTGAAAACTTGATCATTACAGACAGACGTGTGAGTTGCTTTGTGGGCACTCCAACCAGAAAGGAATGTGGATACATGCAGGATTTGTTTGAAAAAAAAAAACATGAAATTATTGGCTTTTGACGATTGCATATCTTAGCTGTCACAACACATACACAATACTGACAATGGTAATCTTTTTTTTTCAAATCTGTTTTGCTAAGTGCATTTTTTAAATTGTCTACTATTATATGTGTATGTTAATTACTTTTTTTTTTTTTTTGTGTGTTTAGATTGGCATTGGATAGCAGAAGCAAATGATGTAATCCTTATGCTGGGATATGAAATCTTTCTAAAGTACCGGAGAGTTTTGGGAAATGCCTTTATGGTCTCATAACTCGGTGAAGGGAAAATCCCAACTGCAGTTCTGCGCGGTAGAGGATGGGCAAACACAGCTCTGGGGACCGAGTATCCACCGGAATAAGTGGACAACTCTGCACTTAAGCAGAGCAGGGCACTCACTTGTCCTGACAGTCAAAAATTGCTGTCAAAGGTAGAGGTAAAAGAACCCCCATGTGGACGTGGAAGGCACTTTGACAGTATGCTTTATAAATAAAAATAATCAAATGTTGAAATAAACCACACAAATTGTTTGTTCATTTGTGATGACTGGATTATTCAGAGTGAGTCAAGGGGGAAAATGTCAGTGTACTTCAGATTTGTAAAGATGGTTTCGCTTACTTAGTGACAATGGTTATTTTTAGTTAATAATTAGTGGCCAAAATAACATAAAATAAGGGGGAGGGGAGAAGCACATGATACATCACCAGGACTAAGGGAAAAAAAATTCATCTGTTCCGAAATTTGATGGTGATTGTGAAAAAAAAAAAAAAAAAATTTTTAAATTAATTAATTAATATAAATATTCAATAAGCGACCTAGTTCTAATTTGAGCTTGACATGTGCTTATGTCTTTAGCACATTTAAAGCTTTTTTTCTTTTTCCAATAAACGTACCAAGGAAAAAAAAATGTAAAGACCGTTATAAAGTTTATAAGAACATATTGAGTAATGATTATGATAAATGGCGGCCATTTTGAATAATTATTAGTCAATTATTAGTTGATATTACGTAACTACTAAAAATTTCATCTTTATTCAGTTAGAGATTGTTGTCCCGAATCCAAAAATATATGGTTTCTAGGGTCTTTTTTAAATACTTTTTAAGTAAAAGCACTTTTTAAACACTCCTCTAAGACTTACGATTTTAAGGCGACAAGTTTTATCTCACTTTTATTTTTTCTTCTTTGTTCATTTTTTCCACAAAAACTTCAATAACTTGGCTTAGAATTGACATACAGGCATGAAAGAGGTACCGTTGGAAAGAGCTTTTCAATATGTATGCAGCTGTACTGGTTTTATAAGGAAAAAATGATTTTGAAAATTTGACTAAAGTGGCTATTTTGTGGAGATGAGATGTAAGAAACAGCCGCTAAAACTTGTGAACCAGAAACAAGAAGTTTTTTTACTGCGCAACCTACTGCGCAGTTCTGTATCGGCTTTGTTTACATTAGACTGTCATTGGACAAGATGGCAGGCAATGAGACACAGCCACTGGCATCACTGGCTGAGCCAGCGATTGCCTGAAAAATGTCAAATGTAAAATTGGACGGAGAATTCAAATATACTTAGCAATACCAGGACGAGTAACAGTTAAAGCCTAAAGCCAACCTCGAATTTACCGCTATTTTCAATCAAACTGATGACTAACAGAAAAACAGGACGTCCAGCTGTCGTAGACATGCGCTGTTAATCGGGTTCCCCCACGCTGTTTTCAGCTATTTATAGCGGTCCAAATTCCCACCAATCACGAAATTTCATGAGAGATTTGGACCCATACGGAAACCAGCCGAGATTTCCCGAACAAGTTCTGAACGGTTTCTGGGTAGCGGAAATTGCCGAAAAGACCGCAAATTGTCGAAACTGTAGTCCCTAATAGTAGTTCTATGAAAATATTAATAGCACTTTCAGTGTTCACTTGTTTGGAGTCTTCTGCTTTCTTTTCCACCCCCTCCCCCAATTGTGGAGCAGATCATATCCCTGCAATCTGCTTGCTGCACTTACAAAGCTGTCCTACGCCTTTTCAGCTCCTTCAGTTTCACCCCATGTGCTGCCTTATCTTGTTCACCTGTCTGAATCTCCATTTTCTTCTGTGTGACAGGTAAAGTCAGGAGATGTGAACCAGTGTCATTGCACACAGTTATAAACCATAAGTGTTCTGCCACCAGTACGGACAGCTGATTGATAAGAATTGTCCGCCTGTGTCGCCATTCACGCGTAACTCTGTAGCTTCAGCAACGTTTCTCCATTTACCCCATAGTGTCAACTCTGGTACCCATTTCCTAGAGGCTGGGTGAACCCTGGAAACTGCCCGGTTTCGAACACCGACCGTGGCTGCAGTGAGTCACAGCTGGATTTTAAAGCGAGCCTCTTATTGACTGCACTAATGCGGCTGTGTGACTGGTTTCAGTGTTTGTGACCCTCTTTGGTTGGTCCTCTGGGGGTCAGCACAAGACTTTTCAATTGTAAGGGTTTTCTCAGTATGCCCTGCCCTGCCCCTTGTAATGTAATAGGCTGGCAACTTTTTCTCACCACTTTATTCACCCAATTTCTTTCTCCCAAGCTCTGTATTAATAAATGGTAAACCATTTAATTCTCTCTTTTAAACTAAAGCACTAGCCTATTAGTATTTTGAAGTTTTGGTTTTTTGTTCTCTAATATTTTTGCTACACACAGAAGTATTGACACTCATTTAAGTTTAGTACTAGACTACTTACTTATACTACAGTAAAACCTCATTCACTAACACTGATTCTGGCTATCCTTCGAATAGCGGTCCCAAATTATGGAGGCTAAAAAAAAATACCCTAACAATGCCTCAGTCATATGTAAATTGCAGGCCTCTTTCCGGCGTTGCTACATCCGGTGCGAAGGGGGACTAAACTAGATGGCTGGGACTCGCGCGCAAATAAAATGGAGGAAGCTGCAGGAGGTGCTGCTTGTGAGTCCCAGCTATCTAGTTTAGCTCCGCATCATGCGTAGCTGCTCTGAGGGGTAACTCGTCAGAAAGAGGTCTGCAATTTACAAATGACTAAGGCCCTGTTAGGGTATTTTTTTAGCCTCAATAATTTAGGACCGTTCTTCTGAGAATAGCCCAGATTCCTCTCCGAAGAAGAATGCTAGGTTATTTGTGTAATTAGTGCCTGGTCAGCACAAATTATTTTTAGCATGAACTCGATTTCAGTTCCTTAGAATTCATGTTAAGGTTTTACTGTAGTATTGGATCACTGTGACGTAGAAGAGAATGGCCTTGTTTGGGTCAAACAAGTAGTTTGAGGGGAACCAGTTAAATTTATAGTTATGTTGAAAAATTCAAGTTCTAAAAGTCCAGAATTGGATTGACAACCAGAACTTACAGCCTATAAAGGCCAAGAAAAAAGAGGTTACCTAAAACCCGACAACCCCTGTTATTTTTTTAAAGTTCTGCCACAAACCCCTTACTGAAATTTATAAAAATGGAACTGTAAAAATAGATTGCATTGTCATAAGGTCAGAGGATTTATTTGTAAATGATATTACATCATCATCATCAGGTGCTTTGCCGACTGGCGTGGGCGATCATGCCTCTCCATAATCTGCGATCTCCTGCAGGATATTACATACCCTTTTAATTTGATGAGAAAGATTGTTCTAGTTCTTCCCTGGTAACAAAGATATAAAGAAGAATAAAAGGGCCTGATATCCTATCTGGTTACGCTGAACATCACGCCAGCAGCGGCTTCCGTGCCCTTTAGATAGCACTCTGGGTTCTAGGGCCCTCATTTTTTTTTGGGGGGGGGAAGAATAGCCCTGATCATGTTATACAAGTTGACTATTGAGGGTTTTGCTGAAATGTTTTATGGAGACTAGGCACAGGTATCCCAGCCCAGCTTTAAACCACGATAGAATGTGCCAACTACCATTTTATGAGTAACCACAGAAACAAAAGAGGTTTAAAAATGCAACCATGTATGTCTGTTGTCTTATGCATATAATTTTGTAAGTTGTCGGTCAACAGTTGTTTACTTGTAATTTTAGCACTTCAGTGGCTTGGATGAAGCAGTCTACAGAAATATCTCTGCATGCAAGGAGCTGGCCAAAACGACCATAACAGCTTATGGCCCACATGGTGAGTGTTTTCATTGTGCCTTACCCTTTGGCGCCAGAAACACTTAAGAGGTCATGAACTCAGGTTTCCCCACCAACTATTCATTAACCATTTTACACAGGTCACTAAAATTCATGGTGAATATACACACAGACACACATTTGTGTGTGTAATATTTTTGGGAAATCTGAAGAGTAAATGTGAACAAAGTAAAGAATTAACTGTATGTTTATTCCCCTAGGCTTAAACACGTTTTGGGTGACTCATCCATTACCTTTTTGGAATTCTAGAAATGGGGGGGGTACATGAAAATTATGACGTCCGAATGTCTTTAAATATTATTTCGTTCACCAGAATACACATTCAAACCCTTAAAAAAAATTATTATTTAATATCCTGTGTTTTTGAACAGTGTTCAGGTTCACCACACGATCATTGGCATTAACTATTCAGGAATAATGTTATACGAAAGTTTTTTTTTGTTTTTTTTAGTCAGTGGGAATTATACATTTGCTAAAAACTTCAGAATAAATGTCTAAAGAGAATCCTGCAAATCTTTAGACACACACACAAATAAAGAGGGGGGGGGGGTGGTTTATCAAAAGAAGATGGAGCTGCCTTGCCCATGTTTGCAAGGACATATGAAAACAGTAGTTTGGAGGACCTAAGGAAATTTGGAGGATAAAAGAAAATGAAAAATGAAGGGATGCAAAACGATGTGGGATACAATAGGCAGAAATTCAGCAGACCTTCGGCAATAGAGACGTGTCAATGCTTTATGTGTCAGTGGCAAAATGAAGAAGATATAGACTTTTTGGAGATAGACCACTGTGAAAATGTCAGGTACACAATATTTGTAAGATTCACTTCTGGCTTCACACCCGCTTGGAACAAAAGCCCTTATTGTCCTAGATGTATGTTTTGAATAATCAGTAATGTGATCATCAACTTAACATTGTCATGGTCTGTTTGATAAACCCATAACCTGCTCTCGCCAAGTTTTTTGATAAATTATCGTCAGTTGATTGGCTAGTTCAGGATGAGGAGCAGCTGGCCTGGTGTTTAGAGAGCTATGCTCTCTTGTGGAAGGTCCAGGTTCAGTCCTTAGTACAGGGTGATTTTTTTAGAGGGTGAAAATAAAAATACTAACCTGCACAGTTTGTGCCGACTGTACTAACCATTAAACCTAAAATCCTCTGGCTCACACCCCTCGCCAGCTGCGCGAAACTAGTATGATTGTACAGGCAGTAAAGGTCAATTGACTAGTGAAGTTTCCAGTCTCAGGCCTACTTTCTTTAGTGGGCTTTGACATGAATGGTGGTTGTGGTCCTATTCCTTGCTTCTCTATATCACACCAGTGACTATGTTCTGTCCTCTCTGTTATAGTAGTTCACTGCACCCATGCAGAGGTAGAGAAAGGTAGTATAAATACCTACCTTGACGCATTATCAAAAATGAAGACAAAACTGCCCTTTTTTTTTCATAACATTGTGGTGCAGGAACATTATGTAGTTTCATATTAGAGTAGATTTATTCCAGCAGTTTCATTAGATTTACAAAAAATTTCTGGCAAGCTGGAGAACTGGTAAACCCACGCAATTTGTTACCTTATATATCCCTGTTTATATGAATGCTTGGCACATAACAGAACCATTGTAGTGCAGCGACTAGGTACTTGCCTGCCAACCCAACGGTCTTGGTTTTGAATCCGCATCTGGTTGGATTATTTTTTTAAATTTCTGTAATTAATTTTGTGCTGATTTAAAAAAAATTGTCTGGATTCAAAAAAATGTTTTTTTTTTTTCCAACAAAACATTACTGTCGGGATATCTGCTGTGGGGAGTACTTTTGCTTGCTTGGCTGAAGTGGGGTTTGAGATAACAAGTGATTTGTTTTCAATTGAAAAGAGAAGAATCAGACCTGTATTTTATGTTATCAAATCTGCAGGTCAAAACAAGATGGTGATAAACCACCTGGAAAAGTTATTTGTAACTAACGATGCCGCTACAATCCTGCGGGAGCTGGATGTTGAGCACCCAGCCGCCAAGATTCTGGTCATGGCAACACAGCAGCAGGAGCTAGAGTGTGGGGATGGGACCAACTTTGTCTTGGGCTTTGCTGGAGCCTTGCTGGAAAATGCTGAAGAGCTTTTGAGAATGGTTAGTCAGCCATGTTGTATTTGGTTATTTTGACAAGCTAAAAAGAACAAATTGAGACCTCGTTTTTATGGTTCTACAGTTTAGCGCTGACAATTCTCCGAGCAGTGAAAACGTGTAATCTTAATATTGAAAAGATTGGCGCACACAGAAGACTTATCATCAGTGGCAGATTTTTGTATTTCCTGATACGAATAGAACATTGGAAGGGGGGCGGTGGTGGGTTCTTGTTTTGTGTTAGGGTATAGAAAGATGTCTCACATCTCTTGGAGATTAGAAGTTTTTTTTTTAAGTATGATTGCCCATGCCAGTCAAGTCATGATGATGAAGAATACCTTTATGCTGTTCAGGTGATGGGATTGTCTGCAGATCTCGAGTTCTGGGCGTTGGACTTTATTACTATTCTTGAATGAATAAGAGTTTAAGTTTCCTGAATTAGGGGTATTTTCGTAACACTTTCTGCATACATTTTTAAAAAAATGTAGACACAAAATAAAACTACGCTTTTTGGGTACCTTTTATTACTTTCGCCGGCTACTCTAACAGCTTCTTGTTTGTGAAGCAGTTATCGTACAGTGAAGCCTTGTTGATGTAAATTAATGATAATTCACTGAACACTAAGTCATCTTGAACAAAATTGTGTATTATAGGTGCCCATTTAGCACATTTATTAAACACAGGCTCGATTCTCGCTCCTTTAGAGTTCATGTTAGCAAAGTTTTATCAGTGCTACTATTAAGATGTTGCACAGTAGAAGGCTTTACAGTATCAGTATTATACTCTTCATTTTTAAACCCAATTCACCCTGAGAACACTTAAAAAAGGGTCATGAACTAATGGAATTTCTCACCCCAAAATTCTTTGTAAAAAAAAAAAACTTTGGTCCGCGGCAGTATCCTTTTAAGTGCTGTTTTAAAAAAAACAATTTGGGCATACTGACTGCTTAATAGGCACAAACAACCAGTGACATTAAACTGTTGGAAACGGGCAGCTACAGACCTGCTTGTTTTGCAGCCTTTAAAGGAGTGTGGCACATGCTTTTGGCTTCTCAGGACAACATGGTTAAGGTTGCATTAAAAAAAAATTTACCTGTGATCAAAAAGGTTACAGAAGCAGCTGCAGAGATTTGAAGATGAATGTGTATTTTTACCTGTCAATTTCTTGCATTTAACCCCACATGGGTGAAAACACATGAGCTTGCCAGAGTTAATTAAATGAGCGGAACAACCAGTAAATATGTGGCCATGCTGGAAGCTGCATGGACACGGCTATCATCATCAATGCTGTTTGGACTGGGCTGGCAGATAAGGATGTATCTCTAATGCTAACTCATTTACATAACCTTGGAGTGAAGCCTGGTGCAACACACTGGTACCAGCTTCTTATGTTGTTCAGGCACTTTGGGGTGGCTACTGCATCAGAAAACTGAGCAAGCATGGGAATGCTAGATGTGCAGGGACATTGTTGATAACATAACATGATTATTCTTTTGCTTACCTAGGGTCTGTCTGTAGCGGAAGTCACAGAAGGCTATGAGATTGCTGTAAAGAAAGCTATCGACATCTTGCCAGGCAAGTATTTGTTATTGATTGTTTAGGTGGTTCAGGATTTAGTGTCTCTGCCTTTGAAAATGAGGAATCTTCCCTGCGCCTCTTGGAAATAGACCCCCTGCTTCTTCTAATAAACATGTTGTGAACAGGAACTTGACAGTTTGCTGAAATCGGTTGTGACAGTACTGAGGAAAAAAGATATCACACTAGAAACACCACACTGCGTATCAAACAGCCCTTTTAAGGGCAGATGCAGAAGAAGAATCTCATCAAAGTATAAATCATCGCCCAAATGGTTGATTCAGCTTACAGCTCACGTTTTATGCTCTTTGACTTTATTCTCTTCTTGAATAACTGCTTGTGACATGCCTGACGTCCAGTTTTCTGGCTCTACCACTGATTTTTTGTTTTTGTGTTCAACAGGGCTGTCAATCTGTGACATAAAGAACCTGCGCAACAAGGAAGAGGTGCTGCCTGCTGTCCGTACGGCTGTCATGAGCAAGCAGTATGGCAACGAAGACTTCCTGGCTAATCTCATTACTGATGCCTGTAGTATGTATAAACTGTTTTATGTTACCATATATCTGCCATTGAATGCAGATACTGTTCTTATCTTTGTTTGAGAAATATCATGCGCGCGTGTGTGTGAGAGAGAGAAAATAAATTGCAGTAAGCAGTCCCTGCACTGAATGGGTAAACAGTTGCAGTTAACCTCCCTCACCTTGATCAACGCACCTGGAGATGCCAGAATAATAAGTAATGAATGAGTAAACTGGCAAGAATTGCACTACTGTATGGATAGATACGATATCTGCTCTGTATGGCCTAGGCTGGCGGATATTGACAAATCTCTGTTGCTAACATGATCACATGCCTGTGAGTGAACCCCGGTGATGCTATCTTTGATAACAAAATAGATTTTGTAACCAACTTCTCATGGGAACAGTCAGAGGTACTTCGGAGGAGCTATTTCATTGAATGACTGAGCATGTATGGGAATGTCCAGTGTGCGATGAAATCGATCAAGAATTATACCAAGGCAGAGAATACATAATTTTCTGCATTTTTCACAGCAGAATAATTTATTTTAAAAAAAAAATATTTTAGTTTTGTGAAAATGGTGCGTCTCAAGCAGTATTTCAGCCGTTATTTCTCTGTAAGCCTGTATTTTTTTGTATCCTCAATCTATACTGCAGGAGATTGGGGTTGGCTTGTGTGATCGTGGGACAGCATCGGGCTTCTAGTTTTAGCATGTCACTCTCCTAGAATAGCCAGCAGAGCTGTGTACTCTTACTCACACACACTGACTGGTGCCACGCATGACCAGTTTTTAAGAACAATAGGTGTTTGTAAATGGCAAAAGGCAGACCAAGAAAATCCTGGATAAAGAATATGGCAGAATGGACAGGCCTTAAGCAATCAAGTTCATTTCACGTAACCAACAGAGATCTAGGGAACGGCAGTATTATGGGAATATAAAGATGATGAATGCTATTCAAAATAGCATTATTGTAAACATTGTATTTTTTTTTGACTATTTACCTAGTGTTTGTTTTCTTTTCTTTCTTTCTTACAGTCTCCATTCTTCCAGAGAAATTCAGCTTTAATGTAGATAATATCCGAGTGTGCAAAATATTGGTGAGTTGTGTTCTTTTGTTGAACTTGTTCTACTGCCCATTAGTTACTATCAGAACTCTGTGCTGGCTGCTGAAGACATTGACACTCCGCTTATGTGATTGTCTCAATTCTGTGATGTTAGTTTTTAACTTGACTGTTCTGTTTATTTGTACGGGGAAGTTGGTACAGGTCATTATTTGCTAATATTTAAATGTATTTGTCATGATGCATGTTTATTGTTGTGGCAGAACTTTTTTTTTAATAGTCTAGTCCTGCACTTACTGTTTACCTCCCAGGTCACTGCCTGGCACGCATTTTAGGCTTGGTCGATCTGGGACTCTCTGTCAACAGATGTTTGATGAATCAACACCAGACTATTAAGTACATCCCATGAAGACTGAGTCAGCATGCGCCAGGAAGAAGTTGGATGCTCAGTCAAAAGAGGGGGGGGGGGGAGCACACCTCTTCTATAAACAGCAGACAGTAATTGCACCCATACCAGAGCATATTGGGTGAACAGTGATACATGCTTCATCTGCTGCTCAACTAGTGTGCACCTGCCAGTTTTTATGGCTGGGCCTCTTCTACATTAGTGTCTTCTTCTAATAGGGGGATTGAGGAGTGCTCAGACACATACTAGCCCACATGGACAATATTTTATGCTACCAAAAGGGGGCGGTGTTGTGTCATTTGTTCACACTTTGAAGGCTGCGGATTTTTGTGGTTGTTGTTCATTGCGAATTTTCTACTGCGCTGTCTGGTGGTCATTATTTGAGCTGCTGTGTTTGTGCTTTATTCAGCACTTTGGACAGAGAGCTAGCCATTGAGTGGAGAGAAACTGAGCTTTACTGGATCAAACCTGGTGCAGTAAAACTGATCCTCTCGAGGAGGAAGAAAGTAGCATTTGTTAGAAGACGAATCACCTAGTGGTGAAATTGTCAGTTTTGTTTATAATACAGGTGGACTTACAGCGAGCAGATGTGTATTGTTGTTTTCTTGTCATCGTTTAGTTATCTGTGCTGGCTGTGCTCTGTCTTTGATGTTAGCACATTACAGTCCATTCGGTCTGTCAGCATGCACAATTTTTAACATTGGAACACATCTTTCCACAGGGCTCAGGTATATTGCAGAGCGAAGTGGTACAGGGGATGGTGTTTAAGAGACAGGTGGAGGGTGATGTCGCCAAGGTGGAAAATGCAAAGATTGTTGTCTACTCATGTCCTTTAGACTCCATGCAGACAGAAACAAAGGTGAGAAATATTACTGCTTTGCCTGTTTGACGAGCTGGAGTTAATGGGAAAACATTCTCCCATTGCCCCCCCCCCCCTTTTTTCCTTTTTTTTTTAAATTTATGGTGGTGGTAAGAGTTAATACCAGGAAGCCACCAAAGTGACGTGCATTATAAGCTTAATATTTGTATACCATAACAGTAGTTACATTGGGATGTGTGGTTGGTTGACCAGGGCTGATACTGGTCATGGGCCCATTTACATCCTAGCAATGGATTCATTCATTCCCTGGGGTCTGACACCCAGTAGATAGCATGTTTCCTGCAGAGTTTTGGGCATGTCTGTTTAAGATACAAGGAACCAACAGTCTGCATACAATAAGCCAGATTTGAAGAAATAAATTTGTTTACATAAAGCGCTGAAGTTTAAAGGCCAGACACGGTCAACCAACCAGAACTTTCTTTCTAAATGAACAGTTAGTATAATTTTGCTCCTATTTTATAATTCGGTTGAGCCTGTGTAAGCTCATGTAACAGCTGACATCCTTTTCGTGCTGTCTAGCGGTTTCATATAACAGCCTTGGTTTTCAGCCAGGAAACCACAGGGTAGTGAAAGAGTTAAAGCAGGTAGTTCTTGCTGATCATACTCCACGCCCTTCCTTATCACGGATAACAATATTGATCTTAAAGATGGAAAGGTGCCGGGGGGGGGGGGGGGGGACTGCAGACAGTGGCTATGTGGTTGTTTAGTTAAAGAGCAGTGGGGAGCATTTTATATGATTGTTCACTGGCACAGAAATGGAGCAGTTACAGTGTGTGCTGCATGTTGTGAAGTTTAAACCTTAGCTACAACTTGGTTACTGGATAGGAGTCTTTTATGTGAAATGCCAGAATATGTTGCTATAATCTAAGTATTTTTCTTTTACTAAATTCCTTTCTTTTGTTTCACTAGGGTACAGTGTTGATTAAGAATGCGGATGAGCTTCTTAACTTTAGCAAAGGAGAGGAGAATTTGATGGAGCAGGTCAGTGTTTTTATTTTGTTTTTAAATATAAATCATTTAAATTTGGCCTGTTGTGTTTTTAACTGTTTGTTAGTGTTCGCCTTGTGGTTTCTTGCTAATGTTTACAGCCAGGCTGCAGTATTTTAGGCCTAGCACAAACTCTTAATTAGTCACAAAATTTCCACAAACTCTTAATTAGTCACCTTTTATGATTGACAACACGCTTGTTAGGGGTCAGTGGGTCTGTTCAATATTCTTCCATAATGGAGCCCAATAATCTACACGGGGAGTTTAAATTTCAAGGTGCCTGGACTTTCTGTTAACTGGGACATCTTGTAGACATGGATAACAGGATTCTAAAACTGGTTTCACTGTTGTGATCTTTCATTATGAAAACCTTTTAATCAATTTTTCATGTTCTGTCTGTGGTCACGTTACATTCCTCCACCGTCATCTTCACTTTAACTATCAACACTTTCTGTTGTTTGCTAACGGAGATTATCTTCTGGTTCCAGCAAATCAAAGACATTGCCGATGCTGGGGTCAAGGTAATAGTGACCGGTGGTAAAGTAGGGGACCTGGCCCTCCACTACACCAACAAGTACAAGCTGATGGTTGTCAGGCTGTTGTCCAAGTGGGACGTGCGCCGTCTCTGCAAGTCTGTGGGAGCTACACCTTTGCCAAAGCTGGTTTGTTGAGATTTTTATTTCATTTTCATTATTGTTTTTAAGATATTGCTGGCTAAATATTAGAGGGCATTCAGAAAGTAATGCACCACATGTTTTTCTTTTACACAAATGTATTAAGTTCACTAACAGTATAACTCATGTCCCTTAAAAATTATAATTTTCTATGTTGTTCTAACCACTTTATCACCCAGCGGCAAATGGGCATACATACCTTGCTTGTATCAGATTTTCTCGTGGTCGTGTTACCTTTCTTTAAACAGTGAATAACTTCAGGTCTATCTATCAACTGTATGAAGCTTAAGTTTTCTGAACCCAGTTACCGGCAGTGCTGCTATCAACTGCACAATTTAAAGGCACAAAACATTGAAATGTTTACATTGGTTTATATATTCGCCAAGAGTTCTGCTGCAGTTCACTGCTACATACAATGTCCCTTGCCTGTATGTTAGCGGATTAATGTAGCTGTACTTTTTATCAGAATGAGTTGCCATTATGTACATACAGTACTGACATTTTAAATATAAACTGCAACATTTTGCTTTTCTGTGTTTATTGTATGATAAGAGTGGGGGAAAATTAGCAGATGGTGGAAGCCAGCTAGGACCTGCTTGGTATTTTAAGACTGTCAGTGACTACTTCAGTCCATCTGATGTCTCCCTCTTCTCCTGGCTGTTTCCATTGTCATGTTTTTGCTTTTACTGCCAGCAGTATTCATGGCAGGGAAAAAAATTATACATTATATGGCCTCAGATAAAGCTAATTTAGATTCATGTAAAGGAAGAACTGACGGCCCATTAGAGATATCTTTTAAAGTTTCTACTCACAAGTTTCTTTGTCTTCACAGACTGCCCCAACAACAGAAGAGTGTGGATATTGTGACCGAGTGTACGTAGATGAAATTGGAGATACACCTGTCATAGTTTTCAAGCAAGGTAAACATTTTCTCTTTTTTTATTTGATCAATAATTGTAAGGTAATGTCAGTCAGGTGCCATTTTCGCAGTGAAAGTTGGCTGCTGTGGATTTCTAACACACTGTCTTTCGCCTTGGAGGAACACTCACAGACTGCTGTTTGTCCATCTTTTGATATTATCCTCCCACTTGTAGGGCTGTCATCCTCTTGTTCACTTGCCTTGAGCTTTTCGGAATATTCTATATTTTCAGTAATTTGTGTGATAATCTATGGCTGCTTTCCCCCCCCCCCCCCCCCCCCCCCCACCCTCTCAAAGTTACGCTGTTATTCCTTTTTTGTCTAGACCTTTATTCCCAGCAAAGTATAGGCCCTCAGCAAACTCCTGCCATGAAATCTTTTCCTTTTTTATTGCCTTAGCTCACCCTATGTCCTTTCTATCTTTTGAACATGACCCATTCATTTTCCTTCTCTACGTTTACAGTCTACCTTCATTTACCTGCCTCTGTGGATTCCAGTTTAACTCTACCAGACCTGAGGCCCTGAACATAACTGTCCCTATAACCTGAGTTCCTGGGCACTAACACGAAAAAACCAATATGATGTACACAAAAATTAGTTACATGCAAAAACGTGGTTAGAATAAAATAAAACTTGGAGACATTGTTTGCCTTTTATCTAGCGCCAATCTTCCACCTTTGTGTGCCAATTCACCTAGAAGGATGAGTCTTGTTTCACAAAGTGAGCACCAGATGTTGCTGTTTGAGGGATACTCCCCCCTTCTCTTACTATCGATCTGGTTTTAAATCTATAATTTTCATAATTCTCCTCCTCACTCTAGCTCACACTGACTGTCACTTCAACTGGGAACGTATTCACAGTCTGAATTAACCAAAGTATCAATCACTTGTTGGACTGTGAAAAGCCTAGACCTATGTCACTTTCTTGTCGAATCCGCTCATTTCATTGGGAATTGTCCCAATTTTTTCCACATTAAGCCACACAAAGATATCTCAACACACGTGGGAAGTCATTCGCATTGACTAACAACAAAGTCTGATGGCGATTGGCTGGTTATTTTTAGTCTGTGATGCAGATTTTTGCAGAAATGGGGCCAGCAGTATAGCGGCTGGTTAGGAAATTCCCGGAAAATTGGAGCAGTGGTCTGGTAGGGTTAAGGTATTGTAGAGACCTTTTTCCCAACATGTGTCCCATCCAATGTCAGTGTATTTCTTCGCTTTTGATTTATTTAATTAGTTTACTTCTCTCCCAACGCTCTGCATTGGTGATTCTATCATACCATTTGACTCCATCTGTTCTGCAAAGCATTCATACTTTATTGGCAATTATTTGTATCATTATTTGTGAAATTATTATTTATGTAATATTAATTAATGTTTATGGGGTCTCTGTGAAGTGGTCAAGCTGTTTGCCATAGGCCTTAAAAGTTGCAGGTTGATTTCACTGCTGCATCATTCAGTTGGCAGATGGTTACCCACTCTGATGATGGAGACGAGCCATGTGGGGTAAAACCCATTGCAATGAAGTCAGTTCATTCAGCTTTATTGTTATATTACTGTTATTCTTTAGTGGAATATTTGCTGTGTTTGTTAAGGTGCCATGATTTATATAATGTCATTTTCAGACACGAACGAGAGCCCAATAGCAACCTTTGTTATCAGGGGTTCAACTGATAACATCATGGATGACATTGAGAGGGCCATTGATGATGGCGTCAACACATTCAAGGCTCTGACAAAGGTACCACTGGACGTTTCACAAGTCTTTCATTGTAGTCTTTCTTTTACTGCTCACTGTGATTGTATTTTCCTCTGATTAACGGCTGTCGTCTGTGCATACCCAAATACTTAAAGGACTTTTTTCACAATGTTGACAGCATTCAGGCATACGATACTAGGCTTTTAAAAAAAAAATTGTTCATCATAGATCAGCCTGAGACCTTTAGGCCAGTTGGCATTGTAACTACCTGTTTTATACAACTGGTGGCAACTGTTTGTTTGTTGTTAGTCCATCACGGGTGATAAAGATTACTTTTCGTCCAAAATTAGTAATGATCAATGATTGTGAGTGCGAAGGTGGCTGATTACTCCAGTATGAACGTTTGGAAGCTGGTGCATATGCAGAGGCAGCAATCTGTCAATCATTCCACAAGGGACTGTGACGAACATTCTATGTGTTTTTCGTTGGCACAGGAGCGGAGCAACTATCGGGTGGCTTGTTTGCTATGAAGCTGAAACTAAGATTACCAAGATGATGACATAACATAGCTTAGAGACGTCCAAGATTACAACTGGTAATGTACATTAAAGATGACAATTTGAATTAGATCGGGGCTAATTGTATATCCCTCTCCATGTAAACAAATTTGTGTGTAGTTTATTTTTATGTTTTTTGTGTGTGTCTGTAGGACAGCAGAATACTGCCTGGTGCGGGAGCTGTAGAAATTGAACTTGCTCGACAGATTGCAACATTTGGAGAGGTGAGTTACCATGTTCATGATAGCTCAAACTGTTGTTGGGTGTTGGTGGCTGCATTGAGAGATGGGCCCTACTGTTGATGCTGGGAAGTTGGAGGCACTTAGTCTGTTGTTTTACATGTATTACACTGGGCATTTGAGGTAACCTACACTTTGTAGATGTTGGGGCACTGTTTTGATTAGTTCAAAGAAAGACTCGGAGTCAAAGGCCCACTGTCCGCCTAAGCATGTCCTAAAAACACTGCATGTTTAGGGTTTGCTGAATATACGGTTGGGCTGAGGCATAGATTTTGCAGCCTAACTGTGAACCTCAACACAGTGTGGCAGTTGCACTTTAAGGGTGAACACGGGGGGGGGGGGGGGGGGGCAATATGAAAATATGGTTTGTGCATTGATTTACCCATTTGTCCAGGTCCTTGAAGGTATGGTTAGTGCATTGATTTACCTATTTGTCAAGGTCCTTAAAGGTATGGTTGGTGCATTGATTTGTCCAGGTCCTTGAAGGTATGGTTGGTGCATTGATTTGTCACGGTCCTTGAAGGTATGGTTGGTGCATTGATTTACCTATTTGTCAAGGTCCTTGAAGGTATGGTTGGTGCATTGATTTGTCCAGGTCCTTGAAGTATGGTTAGTGCATTGATTTACCTATTTGTCCAGGTCCTTGAAGGTAAGGTTGGTGCATTGATTTACCCATTTGTCCAGGTCCTTGAAGGTATGGTTGGTGCATTGATTTGTCACAGTCCTTGAAGGTATGGTTGGTGCATTGATTTGTCACGGTCCTTGAAGGTATGGTTGGTGCATTGATTTACCTATTTGTCAAGGTCCTTGAAGGTATGGTTGGTGCATTGATTTGTCCAGGTCCTTGAAGGTATGGTTGGTGCATTGATTTGTCACAGTCCTTGAAGGTATGGTTGGTGCATTGATTTGTCCAGGTCCTTGAAGGTAAGGTTGGTGCATTGATTTGTCCAGGTCCTTGAAGGTATGGTTGGTGCATTGATTTGTCACGGTCCTTGAAGGTATGGTTGGTGCATTGATTTGTCACGGTCCTTGAAGGTATGGTTGGTGCATTGATTTGTCCAGGTCCTTGAAGGTATGGTTGGTGCATTGATTTGTCCAGGTCCTTGAAGGTATGGTTGGTGCATTGGTTTACCTATTTGTCCAGGTCCTTGAAGGTATGGTTGGTGCATTGATTTATCGTCGATTACTTGTCACTCTTTGCTGTCATGGTTTTCTATTTACTTGCCACCCAGAGGGCATTGTTCAGTACCAGCATTTAATTACTGAAAACAAATATGGACATTAACAGCAAAAGGATAAAGAGAGCGAAAGATAGATTTTAAGCCAGGATATATTCTGATGAATGTTATATTTTTTAACATTTGCTTTTTTAGAGCCTGCCAGGGCTGGAGCAGTACGCAGTCAAGAAGTTTGCAGAATCTCTGGAGCTGGTTCCTAGATCGCTGGCGCAGAATGCTGGTGTCAAGGTGATACGCAGCCCACCATGACAAGAAGGTCAACTTTGGCGTAGACATTGAGGCAAGTATATCACCTTTGTCCTCATCATTATAATTATTCTGTTTTTAGTTTAAATTTCTATATTATGTTTAGGTCCACTTTTCCTTATCAAGCGTGTTTTTAACAGTGACTAAGGTTTGCTGAAATCGGATGTTTTGGGCCCAAATGTTTAGGCATATCAACTTAGCTGCAAACCCCACCACAGAATGCCTGTTGTACTTTTAAGGGTGAATGCTGAAGATACTGTTTGTGTAACAAGAATAGCTAGTTTTGTGTGTAAATGACTGCTTTTATTGCACACATGTGCTTCCATAAGTGCTCATCTCCTTCCATAGATTACATCAAGATCTCAAAAGATACTGTTTGTGTAACAAGAATAGCTAGTCTGGTGTTTGGTGTGTAAATGACTGCTTTTATTGCACGCAGGTGCTTCCATAAGGGCTCATCTCCCTCCATAGATTACATCGAGATCTCAAGGCAGTGCAGGAACTGTGTAGTGCTGATAACTTAAATGTGTGTTCTGAAATCATCTTTAGTAGTGACTTGAAGCATTGAGATTATGCTTTGAGGAGCTCTCTGTTTTCTGTCATTCTTGTCTCAGTATCAGGTTTTGCAGAGGCATCTGGTGCAGCCTTGGTGAATGCTACAAAGATGCTGGTATTCACGACCTCTGATATAATTGTATTCCATCTTTTTCACGCTCACCGTGGCAGCCATTAGCTCTGGTTTCTCTCTGACAGGGTTCTGTGTTGCACTGTCGCAGTCTTGACACTTTTGACCTTTTCTCTCTCTGTGTATTATTCTTCTTTTAATTTCTGTGAGCTTAACTTAAGGGAATCTGTTTAATTGCCGGGAATCTGTTAAATTGCCGACTTACATATTGTTGTTGTCTGCCTATGTTCTAGAGTGATGCAGCTGCAGTCCTAGATGCAGCCGAGGCGAAGATCTTTGATCTGTATTACACTAAGCACTGGGCACTCAAATTTGCCACATCTTCAGCTTGTACTGTCCTCAAAGTTGACCAGGTAAGTTGTTTTACTTAGTAGAAATTAATGCCCACCTCACCACTGCCTCTTACTTGTTCGTTGTTCAAAAGCAAATCAAGTGCATTGGGACAACTAACCACTTTTGGCATAGTTACTTTTACTTTTTGTCTACCAAGACAAATCAAAGAACTTTTGTTGTTGTTGCTAATTTTATGCTGCCAGTGTCAAATTAGGGTCCTTGACTACAAATTATGGCACTGCTAAAGATCTCTAGTGCGCCGTCCTGTTTGTGACCCATATTGGAATAGACACCTGGCACATTTTTTTAGAAGAAACTAATTACGCAGATCATGACAACAGAGATGGGGAAGATATAAATTTTAAAATTTCCGGAGGGGGGGGGGGGGGTTGACCCACTGCCACCCCAACAAGCAGTTCTTAAGAATGGACTGATTGGTGGCTTCCTCCAAAGCTAAGAGTACATCTACCTGAGAGGCAAGGAACTGGCAGTCTACATACAAATAGCCAGATGATTCATATCTAGAAGTCTCATGCATGTATTTTCCCCCCTATGTTGCTGCCGTTGCCCAGTGTTCATATTTTGTCTCCTTTTCTCACTTCAGATCATCATGGCCAAGAGAGCAGGGGGCCCGAAAGCCAAAGAGAACAAAAACTGGGATGAAGATTAATGCACTTTCATACCTGTAGATTATTTTATACAGTGGCTGTTTTTTTTTTTTTCAACTTCATATTGTGGTACCTCATTTCATATGTCTTTGTTGCTTTTTGGACTAAAGAGAAGATTCAATTCCACCTGAGATAGTGCACTAACAATGTAGTACTTAAAAAAGAATGCTGTGTATGTTGTTTTGTCAATCGTTGCTTTCTCAAGCATGTATTAAGTTTACATATGTGTGTGTATGGCTTAGGCTGGCGGTCTGAAATTGTGTGTGTGTCTCTGCTGTGTGTTATGCAAACACTGAACATTTTTATCTGGGATCCATAACGAATAATGTTAGTATGCAGATGCTGCTTCTATTGTATGCTTCTGCTGCAAGTCATCAACCTCTGGATCGTCTCAGACTGGTGATGCGGGCAACAACTCTATATGTCTATGTGGAATTGTATACCATCATGTATTTGGAATTTTGCTGTTGATTTGTTTGCCGTTTTCTCGTTATCATAATTTTGACAATAAATTATATTTTAAACGGTAGAAGTGGCTGTCATTGTTTCATTATGTGCACTTGTGCTTCAAATGAAATCAACCATTGTGTTCTGTTTATGTGTCACATTCCTTTCTATTTCTGTACAGCTTTTGATTTTGTGTCTCTTTTCATAACTTGCTTTGCTATCTCCAACATCATTCATCCCGTCAATTTATTTGCCTCTCTATGCCCTGACTGTCAGTTATTGTCTGTTTTTTTTTTTTTTCATGTATCAATGGATAGGGCACCAGAACAAAACTACATGTGAAATGTGCTGTCTTTGCAAGGTCACTAAGACAAGACCGGGTTAAATACCAGCATTAGAGAGAAAGTTGAGTAGGACCATATCTGGATTATATTGACGGACAAAGAATGAAATGGTTCAGCCATCTAGTGAGAATGCAGCCAGACCAGACTGCATAAGAGACTTTTTGCAGTAAAAAAAAAAAGATACTTTCATGAGTCTTAAGTTTGTGATAAGTTGGGCCATTATCGTTTTCAAGATGTCTGGGTTTACTCATCTGGCTGTGCAAAGAATGTTAAGCATAAAACCACATCTCTAAGATCTCCAATTGTTTAGCTTGTTTAATAATTGTCCAGGATCCACGTGTATGTAAAAATTGTGCATACTATTTTTAAAAAAAAAATTAAGCACTAATAGTTAAGAAAGGAAATTTTATTGGATATACATTCATGCTGTTTAAGAACCAAATACTTATCCAACACACTTGAAACCAAAATTAATTTTTTTGAATCCTATCACTTTTATCGGATGCAAAAGCAAATCATATGCTAGGAATACTCCTTTTAGCATAAAAGTTACTTTGTTTTCCAACTGAGCCATACATGTTTTCAGTAGAACAGCAATGCTCTCAAAGCAAACGAGTTCACATTCTTGATTTATCTCTCTCTTCCTACCAATAATAAGAACAGCCATAACACACAGTAAAGACCGGTGATACAAGGCGGCTACATGGTTCATAAAATCTCTGGTTATTGCTAAAGCAAAATAGTAGCTTGGCGTTAAAATAAAAACTTTGTAAATAATTTCAGTAGTTACCCGATTTTGAACAGCTGAAAGATGCACACACACAAAAATCGCTTCTCAAGCAAACGTGGACACATAAAACTTCACGAATAAACATGGGCACATTTATATCTTCATAAACAAAACCTGTGACACGGATACAAGTTGCAACCTTAAACTGCATTGCACCACCATCTGTGAGAATATATTCCTAGATTTGACATATCTGTACCGCTTACCAAAACTGGTTATCGAGCAAAATATGGCAAATAATTTCAGTTAAAAACTGGTGGTTATGGAGGTAGCTGGCATATTTATCAAGTAAAATAGTTTTAAATGTCATGCAAAGTGGAAATTTCAAATGGCATAATATCACACAAGTATGTCGGTCGATTAGTTAATCGAACAAATCGTTGGATCAAAACATTTTTTTCTCAAGACATGTCAACTGTTTTGTATACAGCAAGCATATCAGTGTTTCATAAAATCATATTTTAAATTTTCTGGTTCTATATAAAGCATTTTATTCTTTGAGATTCATATAAGCATATATGTTTGTTAGCCAATCAGTTCTCATGTTTTCTATAAAATATACTGGCATTTCAGCCAACCAGTTTTTATATTACATAAACGATTTTTCTAATAACCTTTTCATTTCTCTATGACAAAATTAACCCTGCAAGAAGGGAGTAATATACTGTTTTTACTCAAATGTTTTAAATAATACCACCATGTAAGTATATAAACAGAAATTAAATGAACTATTGCTAGCACACAGGAGCTTCACCAATCATTCCTCCATGTTGCATTCATTTCTAGAAAACTAGGGTGGTGAAAATTAATGCTGCCGTTTTCTTTCTGAAGACAGCTGAATTATAAATCAAAACATGTGCCCTTGGTACCCAAAGAGTAGAAATAAAAATCATTCTTCTCAAGAAGATGAAAGCTTTATAGCATTAAAAATAACAATCAAATCACATATATAAGTATTTAATACAAAGTAAAAATGCATGTGATGCTAGTAGGTTCTTGCTGACAGTTGTTGACTGTACGTCCAGTCAGCTGCCAGTCTGCTTCTGTGACTTTTACAAGTTGGAGGGGTGACCCTGGAAAATGTTATACACAAAAAGCTGTCAGCCTTACACTGCATGTATTCTATGCAATATACATATATATCTACACACACATATATATATATATATATAAAGATTTTATGTGCTATATAAAGTCAATCCTGAGGTATAGAAGTAAATCATAAACGGTCAGTAAATCAATAAGAATTTATGTCGCAAAACAGATTTAAAGAAGAATAATATCACAGACAAAATGAAGGTGAAACAAATTATCTGGAGGCTGAAAAGGCATACATTTTTAGAATAATAAAACCATGAACAAAAGGTGAAATTATCTGGAGGCTGAAGAGGCGTAGATTTATAGAAGAATTATACCATGAACTAAAAAGTAAAATTATCTACACTGATTCAGAAAGCATGCTGAGGAAGATCAAAACAGGTATGAATTGTGCAGAGTGGCATGCTTTGCTGCCGAGGACACTAGTGAGGAGTATTGTCTGGATTTTTTCACCGAGCAACGCCGGTGTGTTGGGAAATGAACAGGTGGACAGACTGGCTGGCTCTGCACAACTTGGTGGAATACTGATACATGATAAGGCAGACGTGGTTAGTGCCTTGTGGGAGAGCGTGTACAATTGGGAGGAGCAGATGGATCACCAGTCTGGTGAGAATGATGCAGTTGGGGGTGACGAGAGGTTCTGGCAGATGCTCGAGGCTCAGAGGAAAGGCAAGACGGACGTTTAATTAGAATGCTACTGGCACCATTAGTATCGGAACTCTTCACTGGCTGCTGAAGATGGGGACGGAGTGAGTGCTTATGGGAATGCCCCGAGTGCTGTGATGTCGGTTCATGAATCAATCAATCAAACCATGAACATAAAGTTGAAATTATCTGGAGGCTCAAAGACATACATTTTTACAAAAGTGATAACACCGTGGACTACACAAACAACAAAATAAGACAGGATCTCTTGAACATAAATGTTACAAGAAAATGTCTTACAATCCACAGGTCTGAGATAACGCCTCAGCACACCAACTTAATGTCCGGAGGGAAAGCTGAGCAAACTAAAATGTCTCCAGTTAAGAGGTCAAACTACTTATATCCCGAAGGTCATGGGTTTGTTTCAGGAACAGCGCTGTTCTGTCCACATGTGAAAATCATATGGAGATTCTTGGAAAGTGTTGTGAAAGCTACAGAGTTCATGCTTTATGAAACACTCGGCAAATAGCTAACCATTCTGCAGACACCAGATCAAGCCATACAGGATAAAGCCTGGTGACTCATGACTGTAAACCTGTAAAATTTTGATAACTTACCGAAGATGCAGGTCGGTACTTCTGAAGAGCTGCACTGACTCTACGGCCGTACTCCGGGTCCACCTGGGTAAAGTTGTTGATCATCTTCTTCTGGATGAACTCTTGGGCATCCTTGAGATGTTTGGCCAAGTTCTCCACCAGTCGGCTGCGTTCATCTTCAGTCAGAACCTGTAGGTTCACAAACTGCTGCACTACAAGTTATTTAACACGTTTTTTTCTCAGTTTATCAACTCGCAATCATCATTATCATGTGCCCTACTAATAAGAGCATGCTGTCATGTTTTGCCATCCTCTACAATCACCAGAAGCATATGAGATCAGTTGGTCATGTCTCAACCCTCCCTCCCCTCCCCTTCCTTTCACATGGGCAGGCCAATCTAGCTATTTTATCTCTTTGCCTTCCTCTTGCTCCTTTTGTATCAACTGTAACCAAAGTCCATACCTTCTCATCTGTCCAAACTGTCTAATTCACAATACATCAGACAAACAAATGTTGTTCACATATTCAATCAAAACAAATAAGTTTTCTGGAAAATGCTACGTGATATGAAGTCATGTGAGGACAAAAAGATGTAACATTGAACACTGTGATGTCTGGAAAGATCAGTGATTGAAGGGGCAGATAACATCGAGATGTCTGGAAAGATCAGTGACTGAAGGGGCAGATAACATCGTGATGTCTGGAAAGATCAGTGACCGAAGGGGTTGAGAACATTGTGATGTCTGGAAAGATCAGTGATTGAAGGGGCAGAGACCATCGTGATGTCTGGAAAGATCAGTGATTGAAGGGGCAGATAACATCGTGATGTCTGGAAAGATCAGTGACCGAAGGGGTTGAGAATATTGTGATGTCTGGAAAGATCAGTGATTGAAGGGGCAGATAACATCGAGATGTCTGGAAAGATCAGTGACTGAAGGGGCAGATAACACTGAGATGTCTGGAAAGATCAGTGACCGAAGGGGTTGAGAATATTGTGATGTCTGGAAAGATCAGTGACCGAAGGGGTTGAGAACATTGTGATGTCTGGAAAGATCAGTGATTGAAGGGGCAGAGACCATCGTGATGTGTGGAAAGATCAGTTATCAAAGCAGCAGAATTCCCTCAAAGTTGGAATACATCTGCCGGAGAGGGAGGGAACGAGAACTTTACACAAATAAGCCAGTAAAACGGATGTACAAAAGTCCAAATGGACGAACAACGGGGATTTTCCGCCGGTGAACAAGAAGAAATAGAAGAAAGGGACAGAATGAAAGAATTGCTGCTGGACTGTCTGATGGTGGCATGGAGCAGTTTTGTCAACTCCATCCCTGTACACCAGATGTTTTCACAGGTGTTGCCATCACTGCTGTAATAAATTCAGGCAGTGTACTACATTAACTACACTGTCTGTTACCAGATACAACCTTCAATTCCACAGTGATACATAGATACACAATCCATGTTACCAGATACAACCTGCAATTCCACAGTAATACATAGATACACAATCCATGTTACCAGATACAACCTTCAATTCCACAGTGATACATAGATACACAATCCAAGTTACCAGATACAACTTTCAATTCCACAGTGATACATAGATACACAATCCATGTTACCAGATACAACCTTCAATTCCACAGTGATACATAGATACACAATCCATGTTACCAGATACAACCTGCAATTCCACAGTAATACATAGATACACAATCCATGTTACCAGATACAACCTTCAATTCCACAGTAATACATAGATACACAATCCATGTTACCAGATACAACCTGCAATTCCACTGTGATACGTAGATACACAATCCACAGTTTCACAGTGATGGACAGACTTAACGATCTGTATTTCCACAGTGATACACATACATACAACCTGTAGTTTGACAGTGATACCCATTTAAAAAAAAACTGCAGTTCCACAGTGATACATACCTGTCTCCAGAATGACCCAACCTGAGAGAAGTTGTCATCATCATCTGAGTTGTACCTGGCCACATCGGCAGTCAGACTGAACTTGGACTCTAGATGCTGGGAGGCATCTAATGGTCCACTGAAGCTGTTTGGGAAGTAGTTTGGGGCACCTCCTGAAAAGTCCAGAAATCAAATGAATTAAAAAGGGACACAAACTCATGAGTCTAGTTTGGGCCATCCCCCTGAAAAATCAGGGGAACAAAATAGTGACAAACTCATTTCTAGTTTGGCCCAACCCCCTGAAAAGTCAAGACTAGAAAGCTGAACTGATTCCCCTCACATTTAAAGGTTCTCAGAATGGTACTGCTTTGAAACAGTACTAGTGTAATCAGCACATGTTGTGGGCAATCATCATTTAATATTACATCAATTGCTTCCTGTGTGGGTTCTGGGGCCCCATTGTGGGGGAAACAAGAATAGACCCACTGCCTGCCTAAAAGCATGTTGTAAGAGTCGACTAAATGAGAGCTTCATAGAAGTCAGAGTACATCTGCCTGAGCGGTAAGAAACAACAGCAAATGAGTCAGACCTGTGAAACGGATGTGTACGCAACACTCAGTTTCTGGAAAAGGAGTCCAGAAGTGAATGAACAACCAGAACTTTCCGCCAGAATTTAAAGCCGGTGAACTTGAAGAAGAAGAAGATATAAATTTCACATGTAACACTTTCAGTTTGGGAGTGTTTAGAGTTTTTAAAATTCTAGGATATCCCTGCAATGTTACCAAGTTCCAATTATCGTGGTTGCTGATTTAGAAAAAAGACCACTCTCGTTTTTAGACTTGAAAAGACTAGGAACTAGGACCTAGCCATACTATTCCTATAGTTAGCAGCCAACTGTCAATGTTTAATCTTGGGATCATTTCATTAGATTAGTGTTTCCAATTTAGTGGTCTATGATATCAATTACAACAACCTTCAACTTTAAAACATTTTTTAGGCTCTCCTTTGAATCGTTCCCCAAAATGGCGGCTTTAATATGATGGCATTCGAAAGAGAGCTAAATTGGCCAATTTCTGGCCATGAAATATCCAAAAATATCCGAATGCGGGTCAGTTATATTAAAAATATTTATTTAACGAAACAAATGCTCTGACAGGGTCTCGGCGATACGTTGCTTGCTGACCTGCTTCTGCGAGTGTGCCTCACCGCCGAGCGTATCCCCCGCGCCACTACGCGCGGCGTGGATGGGGGGCTAAACTAGATGGCTGGGACTCACGAGCGGCAGCTACCGCATCTCCTGCAACTTCCTCCAATTACTGTACTCGTGAGTCCCAGGCACTTAGTTTAGCCCCCATCCACGGCGCGCCTAGTGGCGCGCGGCGATGAGTTTAATCGCGTTTGGCGCATGCCAACAAGTCTGACATCTACCGCTGCTAAATCCTCCAATCGGAAGAACAAGTCTGACATCTACCGCTGCTAAATCCTCCAATCAGAAGAACACAGTATTGCTAATCGGCTTTCATCGTCTGTAATGTCTCAAAATTGGTCAACGGTCGCTAATATCGTCTGCTAGTATCGTCTGCAGAAACGCTCGAAATTGTTGTCAACGGTCGGTATTTATCGTCTGTTACTAGTACCGTGTGCAAATGTTGATATTAATTGTCAAGTAATCCTAGTTTTGCCGCGATTTGTTCCTTGGCAGAAAGTCCGTATTTTAGATATACGCGAACACTGTCGTTCAGATATTTTTTGATATTTTATGGCCAGAATGTGGCATGACGCCATTTTGGGGAATGATTCAAAGGAGCGCCGTTTTTTGTTATTCTAATTTTTAAAAATGTTGATAAATTCTTCAGTATCACTATTAAAACAAAAGTATGGGGTCTATGACAGATCTTTGAAAATAAGAGGGGTCAGCAGGTCTTATAAAACTGAGAACCACTGTCATAGATATTCTTTCTTATATATATATATATGTGTGTGTGTGTATATATATATATATATATAGATGATCTGTACTGTTCCTGGACAGGCGAATTCTACCCAAAGCACATTTCCTCCAAGAAATTGCTACAGGCGGTCAGAATCTTCTTCTTCTTCTGCATTCAACCTTAAAAAGGTGGTTGACAAGCTGTGTTGTGGTTTACAGCTAGGCTGTGGTGTCTGCGACTTTCGGCCCAAAACAGCCGCTTTCAGCAAACCCCAATTAGCCGACTTTTACAACATACTTGTTAGGGGATCATGGGTCTTTTCTTTCTTTTCCCCCCAAAATGGGGCTCTGTAACCCATGGAGAAGAGGCGATCAGGTATGATACCGACCAAGTGACAAGTAATCATGCAGTCATTACACAAACTGTCACATCCAACCAAATACACACCAAAGCATGGACGAAAAAAAATCCTTTACGTTCTTTACTATGTTTGTGCATACTAAATACTTTTCAAAATATTTTTAGTAATAATTAACAACTATAAGTAATGGCCTCCTGGAATGAAGGTCAGAAAAAACTGGCCTTGTAAACACATATATCTGAACATCTAGGATGTGAGACTGTGCCTCTTTGCTGGTAAGTTCTGGGGACTCATTTTTGTGGGGGGGGGGGGGGCAGCCCCACTGTCCCACAACAAGCATGGTGTGAAAGGTGACTAACAAGGAGTTTTCTGAAATCAGATGTTTTGAGCCGAAAGGTGCAGATATTGCAGCTTAATTGTAAACAACAACACAGTGTGCCGACAGCCCTTTTAAGGGAAACATAGAAAAAGACTAGGAATTGATGTGTGCTGTTGGTCAGTCAACACCAAGCAAACCTACCCTGATTATCTATGACAGAATAGGGGCCATCCTGAGACAGTTCCTCTGAATTACCATCTGTAAGACTGAGCCTTACTAGCCTATAATGCTAGTCAGTTATCTACAAATTCCTTAATAATGTGTGACACAGTGGAGCCGTCACCTGCTGATAGTTCCTTTAAAATGTCATCTAAGATGTGAGACTATGAGATCTAAGATGTGAGACTATGAGATCTAAGATGTGAGACAATGAGATCTAAGATGTGAGACAATGAGATCTAAGATGTGAGACAATGAGATCTAAGATGTGAGACTATGAGATCTAAGATGTGAGACTATGAGATCTAAGATGTGAGACTATGAGATCTAAAATGTGAGACTATGAGATCTAAGATGTGAGACTATGAGATCTAAGATGTGAGACTATGAGATCTAAGATGTGAGACAATGAGATCTAAGATGTGAGACAATGAGATCTAAGATGTGAGACAATGAGATCTAAGATGTGAGACTATGAGATCTAAGATGTGAGACTATGAGATCTAAGATGTGAGACTATGAGATCTAAGATGTGAGACTATGAGATCTAAGATGTGAGACTATGAGATCTAAGATGTGAGACTATGAGATCTAAGATGTGAGACAATGAGATCTAAGATGTGAGACAATGAGATCTAAGATGTGAGACTATGAGATCTAAGATGTGAGACTATGAGATCTAAGATGTGAGACTATGAGATCTAAGATGTGAGACTATGAGATCTAAGATGTGAGACTATGAGATCTAAGATGTGAGACTATGAGATCTAAGATGTGAGACTATGAGATCTAAGATGTGAGACTATGAGATCTAAGATGTGAGACTATGAGATCTAAGATGTGAGACAATGAGATCTAAGATGTGAGACTATGAGATCTAAGATGTGAGACTATGAGATCTAAGATGTGAGACTATGAGATCTAAGATGTGAGACTATGAGATCTAAGATGTGAGACTATGAGATCTAAGATGTGAGACTATGAGATCTAAGATGTGAGACAATGAGATCTAAGATGTGAGACTATGAGATCTAAGATGTGAGACTATGAGATCTAAGATGCGAAACAATGAGATCTAAGATGTGCCTGCCTACAAAGCTGGTCAGCCATCAACAAACAAACCTACCCTGATTGTCTGTGACGCACTGAGGTCCGTCCCGCTGGTAGTTTCTCACTTTGGCATTGTAGGGGCAGTTGACTGGGATCTGGAGGTAGTTGCTGCCCAGGCGATGACGATGGGTGTCGGTGTACGAGTACAGGACGACCCTGTTGGGCACAGAAAGTGGAGACATGAAAATAACAGAACATTTAAACATGACAACAGAACTCACAAACATGACAACAGACCACATAAACATGAAAATATGACGTTTAAACATGACAACAGAACACAAACAGAACATACAAGAACGACAACAGAAAACATAAACATGACAAAAGGATATTAAACATGACAACAGGACAGATAAGAATAACATGACCTTCAAACATGATAATAGAACATATAAACAGGAAATACAGATATGACAATAGAACACATAAACATGACAACAGAACTTTCCAATATGTTAAAAGAACATACAAACATGACACAAATATACAAACACAACAGGACATTCAAACATGACAGCAGGATATACAGACATTACAAGAGGACATTCAAACATGACAACAAGACATACAAACATGACAACAGGACTTACATTCATGACAACATAATATTCAAACATGACAACAGAAAATACAAACATGACAACAGGACATTCAAAGATGACAACAGAACATACAAAAAACAACAATAGGATATTCAAACATGACAACTTATTTGATCACTTGATGCATTCAGTCAACGGGGAAAGGAGGGTGTTGTGTGTGTGTGTGTGTGGGGAGGGGGGGGTCCTTCAGTTGTATGTTATCAGGGAACATAACAGAAGCAACGGTTACACTGTAACTTACCACTGTATGTCACGGAAGAGAATAAGAAGAGGGATGTGTGAGACAGGCCCATTTAAAAAAAGAACAGCTACAACAAAATCCAGACAATCATGGACAAGTTTTCTTACAGTCCATACCATGTGTCGTTAGGAAATCATGTGTGCCCACAACCTTCGGTCTCATACATTTTCAATCATTTCCGACACAAATTTCTCTCCCATGCCATTTCTTTCTACTCTTCATGACATGTTAAAAGATGTAGTTTGCCATCTAACTTACCATGCATGTCATAAGAGGTTTTTTTTGGGAAGTGTTGGCGTGAAACTCACCATTCATCCTATACAAAAGATCAGTTGCAAAATCAAACCAATCAAAAAATCTACCAAATGGCAAAAAATGTCAAGCAATGCCCTGAACACACATCATCATCATCATCATCACCTGTAGCATCTTGTCGGGACTGGGCTCAATCCCTGGCACCAAGTGGGCAGGTGAGAAGGCTAGCTGCTCCACCTCAGCGTGGTAGTTCCGTGGGTTACGATTTAATACAATCCTGCCAACGGGGATCAAGGGGAACTCACTGTGAGGCCAAATCTGCAACAAGAAATGCAAACAATATGAAATAAAATAATAAACATGCCAACAAATATAAGGCTGTGAATGCCAGATTCTGCGGCAGGTTTTGGAATATGAATAATTATGTGCAATGCTGCTTGATAACAGGTATGAAAACAACAAAGATGATGAGGCAGGATTAAGGGACCATTAGATATAAAAAAATTTCTACTTGAAACCTTCAGCTCATAGTGTCACACCAAACACTCAACACTGTAGATAGGCAAAAAAACCTTTGGACACTCAGTCTAGAAATACGGAATTTACATCAGCAAAACCTAGCTTAAAACAAATTACCTTTCAGGGCATCACCACTCAGCCGATTATCAGCTGCAATTCTGGTGGGGGACTGTTAGTGTTGGCAGATATGGCAGGTACCTTATACACTTTTATTTTGCCTGTATGCAGCTTCAAGATTTTGCTTGGACTGATATGTTTTTCATTAGGTTTAAAATCAGATAGTGGAGGACATTTTGAATTATTTACACTGGCACAGGAACAAAGCATTTATCGACCAACAACTTTTAAATTTATTATAAAAAAAAACAGAAGTGGTGTAATACCTTAATTTCTGAGGTTCTGTCATCAACAACAGACTTACCTCTGAGTCTGCAAAAATATGCCTTCTAAGGTCCTGTCAAAGTGTTAATTCAGCACAACACATACACTCTGGCAAGCATTAGGCTGATTCTTCCACAGGATGTAGTATTTAAATGCTAACAGATTTAAACCCCAGTGCACTGAGCAACTATATAAGCTGAGAATTCTTCTTCTTCATATGTGAGCATTTGAGCTTCTATGTGGCAGATATCACACGCCTTCAATTATCTCTGTGAGTGCCTTCTCTTGCTGGTGACTACAAGTGCCTGTAGGTCCTAAATGTACTTTCTTCCACGTCTGCCTTCTGTCTACTACCAGTCAGCTCTTTTGTGCTGAGTAAAATGCTAACAATTTAATCAGTGTGTGACAGTACTGGAAATAACCACTGGCACTTCCCTAGTTACATGTATAGTTTAGGATAGTTAGGGCCGAAGTTAGCCATCGATAACAGAAGTTTAAGGATGGGATTCTAACCCCTGTAGAAACGCGACTGTTGCTCACGCCGACATCGACAGTATTTTCGCCTAGCAACCGGCTTTCCCCTAAGACCTCCCGCTAAAACCGGATGGGACTAGTTTACGTCATTCAAAACCTATAGGGTTTGCCATTTTGGCGACCAATCACAGCGCAGCGAGACTACCCTGTCCGAGCAATGTTAGAACGGGACAGGACGCGCCCTCTCTTTGGCGCATATGCATGGCTGTGGTCACGTGTCCATGTGGAGCGCAAACGCCATCTTTTCGGGCATTCAATTTCCAGAGGCAGTTGAATATACATCAGTCAGTTTCAAGTTCATTTATTTCTACTAGTGAGTGAAATTTCATATTATTTCGTTCTGGAATAATACTGTAGTGATTCTCGACAGATCTGAGGGCTCTGTGGCATTTTTCAATAATACCAAAGCCAGCCAACGATAGTACACCAATTGTACACATTGTCCTGTCGCCATAGAACCGGCACATACAAAGAGACTATTTAAGGAATTTGATCCTAACATATTAACCGACCACGTGTCGTATGCTAAACGACCATGTGTCGCCTGAGAACTTTAAATCTGAAAATCAGCAGTGGACCATCTACAGAAAGGATCAGCAGAAATTTTAACTACAGAAGCCAAGTGTTCCAGTTTCTGCACCACGTCAAACCTTTGAGAATCTCCACGGGTGAGCTGTACTCGTGCGGGGAAGGAACTTGACCTAGCAGACATTTCTTATTCCCTAATGATGATACCTAGTGTGGTTTAAAGAACACTAAACCACCATCAATTTTTAGCCAGTCAGCTGTCAATAGTGCAAGAGAATTAAAGCTACAAAAATATTCTTCATTCACTACTATTCTTGTCTGTCTTTGTTGTTGTACGTGAGTGATAGCTGAGTGAGCGAGAAGGGGGCATTCTTTGCTTTCTCTCTGGGGGCTCTTTCTTTAACAGTGGCAGAGGAGTTGCCTCCAAGATACCTAGCTTGCCTTATCACTACACCAGTGGAGTGGGGTAGACTTATCTTCTTGTCCTCTGTCCCAGGAGCAATATCTCAGTCTATCTACCCTAGTAGACAGTGAAGTTACCATACTTCTATTGAGCCATACATAGACTGAAGATTATCTCCTGTATAGGAACCCTACCCTACCTAAGACTCTCCTATAGTTGTGACACAGTGAAAACAAAAATGGACACAACAAACACAATTTTCATATCACCTTAGTTAAATCAAATGGATTCCACCTGAACTTTTCAGCTTCCTCAAAGGTCATGACCTGTATGTATGACGTCCAGGAGGGGTAGTTGCCAGCGTCAATGGCATTAAACAGGTCGCGGGTGGCATAATCAGGATCTGTTACTTGGAGTTGTGCAGCAACATCTGCTGGGAGGTTCTTAATACCTTGGTCTGTCTGTATGAACAAGTATACTGTGTGTATAAACATGTGATTCCAGTAGAATGTTAAAATACAGAAACAAACATAAGTAATAGCCAAGGTGAGATCAGAACTGACATCACAGCACTCAGGACGTTTCAATAAGAACTCCGTTTCCACCTTTAAATTCTGATTGTACCAGCAGTCTGCATCTTTTGGCCAACACATCCGATTTCAGCAAACTCCTCATTAGGCTACTTTTACAACTTACTTGTTAGGGAGGTAGCGTGTCTAATTACCCCGCCCCTTCCCCCCTGGCAAAATGTGGGTCCCAGACCCTATCCCCCCCCACACACACACACACACATATATATATATATATATATATATATATATATATATATATATATATATATATATATATATATAATATATATATATATATATATATATATATATATATATATATATATATATATATATATATATATATATATTATATATATATATATATATATATATATATATATATATATATATATATATATATATATATATATATATATATGAGTGAGAGTGTGAGTAAGTGAGTATGAGTGAGTGTAAGTGTGAGTGAGAGTGAGTAGGTGAGTGAGTGACTGTGAGTGTCAGTGAGTGAATATGAGTGAGTGAGAGCGAGTGAGTGGAAGTGAGTGTGAGTTTGTGAGTGTGTGTGAGACAGTGTGAATGAAAGTGAGTGAGTGTGAATGTGAGCGAGTGTGAGTGAGGGTGTGTGTGAGTGAGTGAGTGTGGGGGGATGTATATTTGAAAGTATGCATTCACCCTGCTTTTCAGATATAATACAAGTGCAGTATGACAGAGAGAGTGGAAGATCTGAATTTAATTTGTGACACTTTGAAAACAAAGTTCACAGTTCGTACCTTGTGATGAAACTTGCAGTAGACAGCCTTGCCATCCTTGTTGACCAACTTAAAGGTGTGGCTGCCGTAGCCGTTCATGTGCCTGAAGCCATCAGGTGTGCCTCGGTCAGAGAAGACAAAACTCAGCTGATGTATGCTTTCAGGTCGCAGAGCCAGGAAGTCCCAGTGCATATCAGGGTCCTACAAATCAATTGGCGTAAATGTCAATAGTGACAAAATTATCTCTAATAATATTTTATGGCTTACACCAAACCTGACATCCCACACTGTGCCATTGGCTTTTGGCTGAGGAGCATACTGGAGAGGATATTAAGGATATTATCTTAGGAAGTACAAACTAAACAGGTGATGTTCTAACAGGGCAGACCAGGCCCTTAGTTTTGGCTGGTAGCTAGACTAGGATGGGTGTTCTGACAGGTGGACAGAGATAGCACTGCTCTACTAATCCAGCAGATTCTGCTACATGCTTTCTTTCAAGTGTTTACTCCTTCAGAGTAAACAAGACAGACGGATCATGTTACACGGGAAACGCATGTGCCCTCCTATACTGTCCAAGCCTTCTGGTATGGACGGACAGGAGGAACTTTATCCCAATCCTTAAGTGCCCATTGCCATAGACTGTATTCCGTCTCCCTTTAGTACAGAACATCCCTACTTCCTGGAAAGTTGGAAAGGTGCCAATAATAGTATGCTCTATACATATGCTCAAATGCTAGAACAGCTGTCAATATTTTCACACATGATAATTACAGGAGATGGAAGAACTTACATGATGCAATCTTGCAAAATGTTTTATGTTAGAAAACCATACAAGGCAGAAACAGTTTGGCTGAAGAAATGAGGATGTCCAAGAGAAATATAAAATGAACTTTATGTGAGAGGCCAACAGTGCTGGACTGATATGGAAAGGACTGTACAGAAGAGAATGAAACAGACAACCAGACACGCAGGCCAAGTTTTATTCCCAGGAAACTGCCTGGTATCAATTTGAGGCTGGGTCAATCTGGGAGTCAAAATACATTTTGAAGAAAAACAATGCCCCGATGTGGATTTGAACCCCAGACCTTTAGGTCACCAGGCAAGTGTCTAGACCCTTTGTTACCACAAGTGCCCAGCCTAAATTAGGCATCATTTAATATTCTGAGAAGCAAAGGTGACCATCATGATCCACAATAAACAATTATATGTTAGATAAACAAAACTAACAGAAACCATACCTTGAGGTTTGTGACAGGGTTTCTTTTCTGGGTGTGCACAAAACTTGGGAACTGTGCGACGACAAAACAAACTGACATTGATACATTCAGTATAATTTATATCCGAGGTTTTGTGTTATATTTATTTATTCTGTGTGTGTGTGTGTGTGGTGTGTGTGTGCCTGCATGCATATAGGTCTGTATGATGTGAGATACCTAGGTCGGTATCGTCAGTAGTGTTTTTTCTTTTTTAATGTGAGTGGCTCATACAAAAGAAACTTTACCTGCACAGTTTATGGCAACTGATTCAGCCATGCAGCCTCAAATGCTCAGGCGCAAAACACTGCCTCCCTATATCGTGCTAAGAAGTGTTAAATCAATAATGACAGCTTTTAATGACATATTGTGCCCTTATGAAGACTTGCTGTCACAATGTTCTCCTTTTATTGTGTATGATTGTATTCCTGTATAATTAACCTTCAATATTTTGTGTTTATCCAGGAATCATTATTCCTCTAAGATCTGAAGGACATGAGAACAGTAGCAGAATAAATGCCAACAATGTTAAAACAATATGCAAGCATATAAAAAAAAACTTATCAAGTTGGCATCCCAAAAGAAGATGCTGGAAAAATTAACAAGTATAGACACTGGATGGTTCTGTCCTTCTTGGTGGTAAACTGATACATGACAAGCTAGATGTGGTCAAGGCCCTCTGGGAGCAAGTGAACAGTCTGGAAGCACCTTTGGGAGCAAGTGAACAGTGTGGAAGCACCTTTGGGAGCAAGTGAACAGTCTTGAAGCACCTCTGGGAGCAAGTGAACAGTCTGGAAGCACCTTTGGGAGCAAGTGAACAGTCTGGAAGCACCTTTGGGAGCAAGTGAACAGTGTGGAAGCACATTTGGGAGCAAGTGAACAGTGTGGAAGCACCTTTGGGAGCAAGTGAACAGTGTGGAAGCACCTTTGGGAGCAAGTGAACAGTGTGGAAGCACCTTTGGGAGCAAGTGAACAGTGTGGAAGCACCTTTGGGAGCAAGTGAACAGTGTGGAAGTACCTTTGGGAGCAAGTGAACAGTCTGGAAGCACATTTGGGAGCAAGTGAACAGTCTGGAAGCACCTTTGGGAGCAAGTGAACAGTCTAGAAGAACCTTTGGAGGCAAGTGAACAGTCTTGAAGCACATTTGGGAGCAAGTGAACAGTGTGGAAGCACCTTTGGGAGCAAGTGAACAGTCTGGAAGCACATTTGGGAGCAAGTGAACAGTGTGGAAGCACCTTTGGGAGCAAGTGAACAGTCTGGAAGCACCTTTGGGAGCAAGTGAACAGTCTGGAAGCACCTTTGGGAGCAAGTGAACAGTCTGGAAGCACCTTTGGGAGCAAGTGAACAGTGTGGAAGCACCTTTGGCAGCAAGTTAACAGTCTGGAAGCACCTTTGGGAGCAAGTGAACAGTCTGGAAGCACCTTTGGGAGCAAGTGAACAGTCTGGAAGCACCTTTGGGAGCAAGTTAACAGTCTGGAAGCACCTTTGGGAGCAAGTTAACAGTCTGGAAGCACATTTGGGAGCAAGTGAACAGTCTGGAAGCACCTTTGGGAGCAAGTGAACAGTCTGGAAGCACCTTTGGGAGCAAGTGAACAGTCTGGAAGCACCTTTGAGAGCAAGTGAACAGTGTGGAAGCACCTTTGGGAGCAAGTGAACAGTGTGGAAGCACCTTTGGGAGCAAGTTAACAGTGTGGAAGCACCTTTGGTAGCAAGTTAACAGTGTGGAAGCACCTTTGGGAGCAAGTTAACAGTATGGAAGCACATTTGGGAGCAAGTTAACAGTGTGGAAGCACCTTTGGGAGCAAGTTAACAGTGTGCAAGCACCTTTGGGAGCAAGTTAACAGTCTGGAAGCACATTTGGGAGCAAGAGAACAGTGTGGAAGCACCTTTGGGAGCAAGTTAACAGTATGGAAGCACAAACAGATAACACAATCTGCAGCAGAAATTGACCTTTGGATCTGACTGTCAATCAGCACTCAGAGGAAAGGCAAGATGGCCCACAAAATGAAACTGCTGTTGGTACAATTGGAATTGGAATTCTGGGCTGGCTGCAGACAATGGGTTGTAGTGCTTATGTGAATGTCCTTATATGTTAGGTCCTAACTCTAGAAGATGCTGGAGTTTTACAATTAGGTTTGATAAAGGTGTCAGCAATAACAAAAACACTTACCAACATGGCATCTCTAATGAAGAAGATTGGAGTGTTGTTTCCCACCAAATCCCAGTTACCTTCCTCTGTATAGTATTTGATGGCGAATCCTCGAGGATCTCGAACTGTGTCAGCAGAACCTTTCTCCCCCGCTGTTGCAGCAGAAATATTGAAATATATGTCACAATAACAAACACATTCACCAGATGACTGCTATAAACAGTACGGTGCTGACAGAGAAGCCATCTGGCATGTTCCAACCTCAATCAAGACAAAGCTTTACAGTACACAGGGAGATTTGTTCTACACTGTAGCTTTTATCAAGGTTATTTCTTTGTTCCCCCTTAAAAGGGTGGTTAACCCATGTGGGATCCGGGGCTCCATTTAGAAGAACAAAGAATAGACCCACTGCCTACTAAAAAGCATATCACGAGAGGTGACTAATTAGGTGTGTTTGCTTCAAAAGTCAAAGTACATCCACATGAGAGACAGGGTTTCACCAGTCTGCATACAAATAAGCCAGAACTGTAAAATGAATGTGCATGCAAAACCAAGTTCTGAATCAAGCCCAAGTCCAGGAGTGGACAAACAACCAGAACTTTCAGCCAGAGTTTACAGCTGGTGAATGCTAAGAAGAAGAAGAAGAAAAGGGAGGTTGGCATGCTGTATTGTGGTCTACACCTAGACTGTGATATCAGTCCAACACATCAAATTTCATCAAAACCCGCCCTTTTATGACATGCTTGTTAGAGGGACAGTGGATTTATCCCCCCATCCCCCTCCCAATCTAGGGTCCTGGAAACCACATGGGGAGTCAAGGCTACCAGCCTCCTGATTTGTTTCATGACAAAAGAAGAAAAAGAAGAAGAAGGTGGTGGCGGAGGAGGAGGAAGAAGAAGAAGAAAAATAGGAGAGGCAGCAGCACAGAAAGAGGAAGAAAAGGAGAAAAAGAAGACCACATTAAACAAGGAACCCACTCCATTCAGGAGCAGACAACAATCAAAACAGTCTGACTTTCTGCCATCTCCCACTTTTTAAATTAATTTATTGTTGCTTTCACTATCATTTGTCACTCTTCTTCTTTTTCTTCTGCTTTTTATCCCCCAGTGGAGCAAAGACTCTCAACCAGCTACTCATCCCATGCCACAGCATGTTTTCACCTTAACTCTCTAGTTTCCTTCTCCATGTGTTATTTTGTTTGTCTTTATCAGCCTGACCCGAGTTTGATTCTTTATATAAAGACATTCTAGCAAGACTGTTTATCTCAACATGTGTCCTATCTAACACCCTCTTTTCCTCGTTGCTTGATTCACTATTATTTGTTTAGTTCTCTCCCACAATTCTGTGTTAGTGATCAATACTGTTTCTCTGGAGAGGGATGCCATATGGGCAACACTTGGTTTCTACAATATTGCCCAGGCTTTTTGCTGTGGAGAAGAGCACCTTCCACCCTCTCCTTAATTGGTATCAGCATGTGCTGTGATTTCCATACCTCCATACAGGCAGAAGAAGAGTGGATAAACATATAGCACAATGGAACACTACTGTCTAGGAAGATGGAAAGCTGCCAAGAATAACAACCTGTCCAGCCCCCCCCCCCCCCCCCCCCCCACCCAAATTTGACTAGCATCCACCTCGACTCAGTCTAAAATGGGTACTAGGCAATTACATGGGAAGTAAAGGCAGCCGGTGTGATAATGATCACATCAACCACCAACAGGTTTTTAGAAAACGAGTCTAGCATTGTATGCATGATGTGCTGTATAAAGTATCCTGTAAGAACAAGTCTAAAGAGAAGGAATAAACAATGAGATAACAATATGAGGAGAACACGGAGGGAGTTGCACAAGTCAGCAAAAGATGACAGCACAAGACGTAAGTTAGCTGAGGGCAATATTTCAATAGGGGATACAGGACAAATGAAGAATAAAACTCCAACTCACCCACGGTTGAGAAGCGGATTGCCAGGGGTGTTTTTTTGCCAACATGCTCAAAGATTTTTGCTTTGCTGTACTTGGTGATATCATGGGTGACTTCAAAATATCCAAAGGCACCTGAAAATAGACATCATATATTTACCTATAAGTAATGTGGTTCATGGTCCAGCGGTTCTCAAGTAACTAAATCCTGCGGGCCCCTCTGATGTTCAAAAGTCTGCCATCAGCCCCATACTTTTCAATAGTCATTTTAAGGAACCTATAATTTATTAACATTAGAATTGCAAAAAGGATTGCATTCTAAAGTTAATGGGTTTTTGGTCAATGATACAACTGTTCTGTGGAACTCAGGGGTTCAAATCAACAAGACTGTTCGCAAACTTTAAATTGTATTTTTCCCTTTCTCATCCCAAAGCGCAGATATACCTGGATATCATATTTTATCTTTCTTCTTCTCTCATTTATTTTGGGTACCTCCTCTATGGGTAAGTAGCCAAGCGATTTGCCTCGTACTCCAAAGATTGTAGGTTCTTTCCATAGTTTGCCTCGTTCAGTTCATGAGTGCAATTTTTAATCTGAGATTTCTGGTGAATATCACTGGAGCTATAGAGTTCATGCTTTGTGCATTGTTCTCAGTAGGCAGCTTGGAATTCTGCAGATAAAGACTGAGCCATACTTGATCAAACCTGCAATTATGTTGATTCTTTCAACTTCAAAAGCTTTGCTTAGTATTTGTGTACATAATTATTATACAGTCTCAGTACACGCTGACATTAAAAAATATGGCCATCTCTAATATGGTTCCTTCACATTTCTGGCATGGAATTCCAACTTCTTCTTTCTGAGCACAGAGTAATGATTACATTTCTGAGGCACTAGTTTATTTAGCTGACTTAAAATTCTGGAACTATTGTATTTAAGTGAGTTAAACACTCAGATGAACTATTTTTTCAGCTGAATAAAATTCTGTAGAACTGTTTTATTTTGTTGGTGAATTTTAAATTTGTACTTTCTTTTCGTTTAGTGTTTCATTTTTGTCTTTAACAGATTGAACACACATTTGTTTTCTGTTAAATAAGTACAGCGTACACAACCATAGAAAATCCGGCATTTTCACTAATCTAACATTCCTCAGGTCCAAAGGGTGCCAGATATTTTACAGATTTTGTAATCTCAATCTGTTCCTTTAAAATAAAGTGTACCTTTACCCAAATATTACTGGGATCTTTATGAGAAGAAAGGTTGTTGTTTTTTTTTTCACCCTACCAGTATGCCATAAGAGGAGGATAGCTGATAGGTTTGGAATTCTTTCCATAAAAGATTACACCATCAAAAGCCAAACAGTTATAAACAAGTCAATTTTCAAAAACCTGTTAATAGCAAGCCAGCCAAGATGGCTGGAGGCTCTTCCTGCAGAAGAGTGGTTGCTCTGCCCAAAGTACCTCGTATTACTCATTTTATTTCCTTCAGTACTGTCCTTTATATTGTGTGTTTTAGAATATAGTAGGACCTCAGTAATTTGCCCAACCAAGAGTCTGTAGCTAACCAGTCAAGTTACGGAGGTGGTCAACATATGAATGAGTACTTCTATGTCTGTCAACTGTTTTAGTACCAGGAAGTTATTACTTCAACAATTTTTAACTGTAAAGTTATTTACATTTCCAATAACAATCTTAAGTCTTCAAGAGCTTAAAATAATATACATGCAGTTCAAAAATGTATTCCTCGTATTAAGTAAACAAAAAACATAAAGTAAGTTGACTGGGACAGAAACGGTTACTCTTCACCATGTGTCTGGTTTTAAATCAAAGATAAGGTTGAGTTACAGTTTAAGTCACCTAAAGGTTGCACAAGTATTAAAACATGCAGTCCATGTGTTAGTTTTATAAAGTCAAGTAAAGGATGCACAACTACTGGTATTGATAACCTTCACACATTTATGAAGGGCTTAATTAGATTATTGTTTTTCCATAAATTATCTTGCCTATCCTTGTTTCAGAGTATTAAATCCTTGTCAGAGCCTCAAGTGTTATCAGCAAAACTTGTTATCTACACAAGAAGTTGCCAAACAATTCTAATGGTAGTTGGTTTGTTTAAACTGATATAGTGTCCTACATTTTTAGTTTGGGAAACAAAAGCAGACTGAGGGAGCTAATGAACACTCCTAACTCAGCAGACTTCCTCATTTTATTCAAGCAACACTCACAATAAGACCACATGAATATTTATTTTTCTATTGACTTGTTCTATTGAACAACCAGCTGATAAGGGTTCAATTTGTAAGAATGAGGTAAGTATAGATACTCTGCTCCCAATCCAGTGGCATCTTTGTAGGCTGTAGTACAGATTTCTTCTTCCCCTCTCCACGGCTAAAACCAGTTGGATGTTCTAGACCAGAAGACCAGAACTGAAACTTCACATGGGGCAGAAAAGCAGATGAGGAAGCAAGCAGGTCATAACTCAGCACAGTACATACAGACTGGCTAGATTCGGTCATGTTGGAAGATTCCAGAAGAAGATATCACTGAGATGTACTAAGAGAGCTTTCACAGACATCTCATCAAAGATAGAAAAACTTGCCATAGCCATAAAAATTCAAAACATAGAACATCTCAACACACACAGAGCATCTCACCACAGATGGAACAACTTAACACAGACAGAACGATTCATCACAGACTAAACACAGACAAAACAATTCGCGACAGACAGAACAGCACATCACACAGAAAAATTCAACACAGAGGTAACAACTCATCACATACAGAACAACTCACCACAAACAGAACAAGTCATCACAGACAGAACAACTCATCATAGATAAAACAACTCACAACAAAACATGAACAACTCACCACAGACAGAACAACACACCACAGACAGAACAACTCACTTCAGTCAAAACAACTCACCACAGACATATCTCACCACACACAGAACAACTAACCACTGACAGAACAACTCACCACAGACAGAACAACTCGCCACATACATGACAACTCACCAAAGACAGAACAACTCACCACATTCTTCTTCTTCTGCGTTCGACAGTCATGCTAAACATTGAGTCCCGTCTGGGTCAAAAATAGGATTGTGCGTTTAAGGTCGCCATCGGTCCCCCAAAGCTTCTCTCGCAATGTGGATCCCCTGGGCCAGATTCACAGTCTTTGCTGGGAGAGGTAAGGGCAGTACTGCAGTATGTGCTCAGGGGTCTGTCTTTATGCTCCACAATCACAGGCAGCAGATTCTTTTATGCCTATCCTGTACAGGTGTGCTCGAAGACCACAGTGTCCAGTCCGAAGTCTAAAAATTGACGTTTGTTCTTTCTTGTTGAGTTTGTTTATGCTGTCACTCTCTGGTCTGTAATCTCCATTCTGCCTTCTCCACTCCCGCTTGAAAGACTGCTTTTTGGTTTCCTTGTAGCTGTGTGGTGGATGAGGTTGTGGAAGATTACTCCCAGCTTTTGCCAACTCATCTGCTCTCTCATTTCCTTGAATACCACAGTGGGCTGGTATCCATTGCAAGATCAGTTCTGCTTCCTTGGAGAGTAAGCCAATGTTGGTCCTTAGACATGACAACTCCCCACAGACATAACAACTTGTCATAGGACAACTCAGAACAAAACATGAACAACTAATCGTAGACAGAACAACTCACCACAGACAGAACAATCCACCATGGATAGAACAGCTCACAACAGACAGAAAAACTCAACAAAAACATGAACAACTCACCATACAGAACAATTCACTACAGATAAAACAACTCATCACAGACAGAACAACTCACTACAGACAGAACAACTCGCCACAGACAGAACAACCCACCACAGATGGAACAATTCGTTACAGACAGAACTTACAACAGTCAGAACAACTCACCACAGACAAAACAACTTACTACAAATAGAACAACTCACCACATATAAACAACTCACCAGTCAGAACAATTCATTACAGACAGAACAACTCACCAGCTCCTTTTGCATGCACAACTCTTTCAGGTATGCGCTCCCTGTTGAAGTGAGCCATCTCATCCAGGAAGACATGATCCTGCAGAAGCACAGGGCCCCTTGGGCCAACCGTCAAAATAGCATTCTTGTTTCCCACAGGGGCACCAGCACCAGTAGTCAGCGTGTCTGGCTTCTGAGAGGGCAAACATGAAACAAAGTCAATATCAGAGTTGTTGTTTATTTATTCTTGACCATCAGAACCAACTCAAGAGAGAACAACTCAACAAAAATGTGAACAACCCATCACAGACAGAACAATTCACCAAAAACAAGAAAAAGTCACCAAAAACAAGAACAGCTCACTATGGACAAAAAAAAAACTACCAAAAAACATGAACAACTCACCAAAAACAAGAATAACTCATCATACAGGACAACTCACTACAGACAGAACAACTAACTAAAAACATGAACAACTCACCACAGACAGAATAACTAACCACAGACATGAAAAATTCTTCATGCCACATTTAGTTGTTACAATAACCCATACTTCCCCAATTGCTTCATTAACTCTTTCTCTGTCAAATTACTATTGTTTGAAATCATTCTGACTCTTCTTCTTCTTGCTGTAAACTCTGGTGGAAAGTTCTGGTTGCTTGTCTAACTCTGGACTGTATTTAGCCTTGTCCTAGAACCTGATTTTTGCATGCACATCAGTTTGACAGACCTGACTCAAACATTGATTCTTTTTTGCTTTCTTTTGCCAATATCTGCTTTTTGCCATTAGGTGTGAAAGTTAATCAGATGATAGGTAGCTGCGTTAGGCCACACTCGTTGCTTGGTATACAGAGATGTCTCGTAACAATGACTTGGTTAGGCACATATCTTTCTATGTAACTTCTTGTTTTTGTGTTTGTAGGGGAGTTTATGACAGCAAATTACTTGCCACTCCCAACATTTCTTCCCACTCCTTTAGGTGGGCAGTCTTTGATGTGATGGACATGCAGGGGTGGGAGTGTTGGAGGGGGAACCCAATGCACCAGACTCACAAATGTTCAAAGGTGGGCCCAAGGGATCTAAGCCCACGGGTTCCGGTAACCATACGGCAGTGGGTAGCCTTTTGTTTCAATTATTCTGCTTAAGAGAGATCTGTCCCATAGGAGTGACTCTGCAAGATGAACTATATGGGCATCTATGAAAATCTCAAGTTCACCATCCTGTTTTAATAGCCCATACATGAATAGTCACATTGCTAACGCTGTTCACTCATTAACCCTACCTGACCTGAGGCCCTGAACCTAACTGCCTCTTATACCTGAGCTCCTGGGCATTAACGCAAAAAAACCAACATGATATACATAAATATTAGTTACATGCAAACAAGTGGCTAGAATAAGTTGAAACTTGGAGACATTATAGAAAATAGGTTTACCATTTATCTAGCGCCAATATTCCACCTTTGTGTGCTAATCCACCCAGCAGGATCAACCTTGTTTCACACACCCCCTTCTCCTACTTTCGATCTATTTCTAGATTTCAAATTTTCAAGATTTTCCTCATCATTCCAGCTCTCACTGACTGAGTCACTTTAACTGTGAACGTATTCTTCATGAAATTATGACTCCGCAGAGTCTGAATCAACTAAAGTATCGATCACCTGTTGGACTATGAAAAGCCTAGACCTACTTCACTTTCCTGTCGAAGTACTTTGTTCATCAGCCACTCGTTTCATTGTGCATTTTCTGAATTTTTTCACGTAAATCAACACAAATTTTATCCAAACGGACATCTAGGAAGACTATCCACGAGATCTGAATACGACTGGCTAGTTATTTTTGGTCTGTGATGCACTGTTTTCTCATAGTACGCAAATTCCCGACATTGAGGGACAGCGGTTTAGCAGCAGATTAGGAAATTCCCACATTAGCGGGCCAACGGTCTGGTAGAGTTAAACAAGAACGGGTACCGGTTTCTAGGTTTTAACAGAACAGAGATAACTTCTGTAACAAAAGATTGTCAGTAGCTGTACAGTGCAGCCAGTCATTAATCCCATTAGTTTTTCATTGTCTTTGCGGCTTAGACCAGTTCGTTTTTAGGCAAAACTTAAAACAGAGACCCTAGGAGATACAATCTATTGTTTGTTTACATTCACATAATAATGTTCTCTATTGATTCAGGTTAGGGTTAAGGTTTGGAAGGTTTTGGTTAGGGTTATGGCTAACCCTAATCTCAAACAATATTCTTCTTAAAGTCCCTGCCATGTGGCATTAGTAGTCATGTCTATCCACAACCTTCTGTCTCGTGTACTTTCAATCAACTCTGACACAGATGATCTTCCATGCCCTAATGTCAAACCATCCTACATCTGTTCTCTCGGTAATCCTCTGCCTCTCCTCCAACTTTCCTACTCCAGTTTTCTCCTTCTCATCACATGACCCTCTCCTATTTTTACTGGCTATAGACTGGATTATGAAGACAGTAACTGCTAACACCAAAAATGGAATTCAGTGGACTCCTACAAAACAGCTTGATGATCTGGACTTTGCTGATGATATTTCTCTTCTGTCCCATTCACGGAATCAGATGCAAGACAAATTAAATATACTTGATGAGAGATCACAGCAGCTAGGTCTGAAAATTCATAAAGGAAAGACAAAGATAATGAGAATAAATCAGGCAAATAGTAATGTGGTCTTACTTGATGGCAACCCACTCCAAGACGTTGAGTCATACACCTATTTGGGCAGTAATGTAGATAAAGATGGGGGAACTGATAAAGACAATAAAATAAAAATACAAAAGGCAAGAGGAGCTTTCATAGCACTAAGGAATTTGTGGAGGTCAAAAGAAATTAAAAGAAATACTAAGCTTAAAATGTTTAATTCTAATGACAAATTAGTACTTTTGTATGGGGCGGAAACATGGAAAACAACTAAGGCAACTACTAATAAATTGCAGACATTCATTAACTGGTGCTTGGGCTAAATAGAGGAAATTAAACTGTATGATAGAATAACTAATGTAGAGCTATGGGAGAGAACTAGGCAAGCTCCAGTGGACCAAGAGGTGAGGAAAAGAAGCTGGCGTTGAACAGGACACACATTGAGAAAACTGGAGAACAGCATAACTAGAATGTCTTTGCATTGAAACCCACAGGGGCATAGTAATAAAGGAAGGCCAAAAAACACACGGAGAAGAGAGCTGGAGAATGACGTTAGAAAGATAGGGAGGACATGGGGATAGAACAACTTGGCGTGAGTTGGTTGAGGGCCTATGCTTCATTGGGGGATAGAAAGGCAGAAGAAGATCACATGACTAAAGAATGTAGACTGTCTCTTTCTCATGTGGGCAATCTTCTCTTCGTGAGTCAGTTTCTTTCAAGACGACTTCATCTCTTTTTATCTGTCCAGGGTATTCTTATCTTTCGTTTATAAAACCCCATCTCCGAAGCTTCCATTATTAAATAAATATTAAATATTATTATTTTATGAACTTACACAAACAATGGATCATGCCCTGTTCCATCCCCATCTAAAGTATTAGTAATCTGCAACAGACTGAGCGCCTATCACTTTGGGTTGTGGGTACAGTGACTGGTCAGCTGGTACTGCAGAATCAGAATTTCAACAAATGATTCATGACAATTCCCGCCCATGTGATGTGATTATCTATACAGAGACTCTGTGTTGAGGGGCAGATGAAGTGCATGGGGGTTTATAGCAGAGGCGAATGGACGTCGCTTAGTGCAACAAAGCCTGGCATATGATATCACAACATCTAGCTTGAGATTGGAGGTGGAGGCAGTCTCTGCTGCCTTCAGCTGGCTTGAGAATCAGCTGTACACACAAGCCATGATTGTCACTGACTCACAGAGCATGTTGAGAAAGGTGAAAACAGGCATGCTTTGTGCAGAGTGGCAGGCATCACTTCAGAGGTCCCGGGTAGTTATTGTAATTTGGATACTCTCTCCAGATTATGCCAGTGTGTTGAGAAATGAGCAGGCAGATGGATGACCGGTTCTGCACCACTTGGTGGTGAATTGGTGTATGAAAAGATAGAAGCTATCCTCCGAATAAAGGGCGGTAAATATGGCGGCCGCAAAATATCCTGACGAGCCACAATCACGTGTCAATTGCGCACTAGAGGTCTCGAGCACATCGTGGGAAAACTAGGATTAGTGTCTGTTGACAATTTCGAGAAACGGAACAAACCGCCGAGTTAAACTCGCCGTCGAGAGTCTCCCCCGCAGCTACGTGCGGCGCGGATGGGGCTAAACTAGATGGCTGGGACCCACGAGCAGCAGCTACCACATCTCATGCAGCATCCTCAGTTTATTTGCTTGTGTGGGTGGCTCTCGCCGGAGTGTTCGTCGGAAGGAAGTCGACAATTTAGGTGTCAGTGACGCTCTGATCGTACTTAGCCGAGTTTGAATGGCGTAACAGCCACAAACAGCAGATTTTCTGGCACTATTTACAACTTCTGTGCCATAATTTCCAGATACAAAGGCATAAAATTATTGGTAAGTAGTCGATTTGATAAACAAAAATTTTCGTTCCTTATTAGTTTTGACTTCAATTTTTGAATGTTTACAACACATGTCACGTTACTGTGGCTCGTCAGTATATTTTGCGGTCACCATCTTTACCGCCCGTTATTTGGAGGATAGCCAAAATAGACATTGTGAGGGCCCTCTGGGAGCGAGTGAACAGTGTGGAAGCACAAACAGATCATTGCGGTCTGAGGAGAATGGCACTGTGAGAAGTTACCAGGTGATCTGGCCGATGCTCACCACTCAAGGAAAGGGCGAGAAGGATATATAATCAGACTGTCACTGGTGCTTTCGGAAAAGGAACTCTTCGTCTGCTGCTGAAGACGGGGACGGAGCGCTTATGGGAGTGTCCTGAGTGCTGTGATGTCCGATTCTTAATTCAACATGCAGACTGCACTTCACTGAGCACCTAGCGTCGCCGTTTTCCCCAGTTTTCATTGTCTCTGCGGCTTTGAAGATACGACAATTGGCCACACACACAAACGTTAATCTAACTAAAGTGTTAAAACGTATGTTCTAAAAACCGCTATAAATATCTTTGTCCACATTTTATAATTGAGGTAGAGACCGCTGAAATGAGGTAACGTTGCACTGCCTTTTCCTAAATAAATTGGCCTACCTAAATGAAATAAGTTACATGATTAAAATAGTATTAGTATAGAATAGAAAATTTGACTGAAGCTACGTATTATTCTCACCTGCTGGGCTTTCTGGAACTCGCTGAGCTGGTTTAAAGCTCTGTCTTTGTGTGCCATGTTGCTTGAAAATTATATGAATTAAATGTAAATCGTTCTAGGAGACTAAAACGTGAAGAGGCAACTTGCTGAAGAGATTTGAACTGTTCAAGTCCAGGGTCCAGGCTTGCAGACGTGAAAGGTTACTGCCCTTCGCTTCTGGGGTTACGAGGTCAATAAAACAGCCGTTATGGTGGGGCCCTGACTGGGATCGAGCAATAAAACTCGGGGAGGTTCCATTCCTGTGTGGGTTCCAGGGCCCCATAGTGGGTAAAACAAGAATAGTCCAACTGCCTAAAAGTCGACTAATTTGGAGCCTCCTTCAAAGTCGGAGTACATCTGCCTGAGAGGCGAGGGGGAAAAAACATCTGTATGCAAATGCGTCAGACCAGTTAAACGGACGTTCAAGCAACACTCAATTTTTGGGACAGGAGTTTACAGGATGTAAACGCGAAGAAAAAAGTGGGGTTCCATCTTCACTGCAGATGGTTCTGCCTATAACTGCTGCATTACTGTGCCAGTGGAAATCCCCAAAAATGCCCCTTGCTGTCCTGTTTGAAAAACTAGTGAAAACATCAGTTCCAGTAAAATCCTGAATTTCGCACACGCAAAGTAAATGTATAAGTTATTATAAGTATAAGGCGCCCGGCTTTCTAGCGTAGTTGACTAAGCCTGACTTCGCGGTGACAGGGTGACTAGCTCCTTGTGCTCCGGGTTCACTCCCTGGGGTAGGCAGAAAAGCCACATTTCCCCCAGATTTACGGTACCTATAGAATCAAGGCCGAAGGGTTGCGATATCCATAGTACCGAGCCAAAGGGTTAACAACTCATGGTTTCTTACTATTAAAAAAAGTATAAGGCAGCGGTTAGATGTGTCAACGCTTTCTTCCATCAAAATTGTAGTTCACTTCTGATGCAAGCAGTCAATGACGAAAATAGACAGGTTAAGTAGGACTGAAGCAATAAAGACAGTCAGGTGCCGTCCACATAGTGGAGGTTGGCTTCTTATCTTGATAGTACACTCTGAGATTGCGGTTTGCACGTCTCTTTATGTTGTCCTCCCACTTACATTTTCACCTCATGATCTGTTGCTTTCAACTTTTCCCTCCAGTATGTTTTTAAAATAGTGTTTTGTCTATGTCACCAAAATATTTCAGTTGACTTTTTTTTTTCAATTGAAGTAATACAATAAAAGACGTTATTGTTTTTTTTTTTTTTTTTCAATGCCAATGGCCCATCAAGAATATGTTTCTAGACTCATATTTTATAGACCAATCAGCAATGGACAGATGATATGGTCTACAATATATAATCGGCCATCTTTACTTTCCAAGATATTAAGTCGTCCCTTTGTGGGATGCAATTTTTGTTATTTGAAGCCCCATCATGGCTATAGCCGAGCCTGAAATATGACCCACGGCTGAACGGGGTTTCTGGAACCTCTCCACGGGTAATCCTCATCCGCATGGTGGCGCTATGTATCACCAGGTGTTTATTGCTCTGTGTGATGCCCTGGTGGATTAAAAATTTATTTACTTACTTACTTTCCAAGGCTCAACCTGGTGCTGTTAATTCGTCGTCCCCATGTGAAATGCAATTTTTCGTTATCTTGAAGCCCCACCCTGGCTGTTGCTGGGGTCCTAATAAAACCTAACGGTTTAACGGGGTTTCTAGGACGTCTCCACGTGTGATCCTCGTCCGAATGGTGGCACTTTGGGTCACCGGGTGTTTATCACTCTGTGTGATGTTCTGGTGGGGTAAAACGTACTTACTTACGACCTGGTGCCCATTTTAGCCTGGGTCAACCTGGTAGCCAACTTCAGTTGTGAAGAAAACAAATCCGCCTGGATGTGTGTAGTTGGACCTGACAACTTCAGACAAACAGCCAGTGTCTAGCCAATACGCTACCAAGGGTGAAATAATACACATTATAAGAGTAATAAACGTATTGTCATGACATAGACAGCACAATCTAAAAAAAACAAACAGATGAGATAAAGACAAGAAACGTCACCACGAATATAGCGGACAGGCAGAGAATTGTGTCATGACATAGACAAAACTATTTTTTTTTTAAAAACCAAGATGAGATAAAGACAAGAAACATCACCACGAATATAGCGGACAAGCAGAGAATTGTGTCATGACAAAGATAGCACAATGAAAAAAACCCAGATGAGATAAAGACAAGAAACGTCACCACGAATATAGCAGACAGGGTAGAGAGTTGTGTCATGACATAGACAGCACAATTAAAAAACCAGATGAGATAAAGACAAGAAACGTCACCACGAATATAGCAGACAGGGCATAGAGTTGTGTCATGACATAGACAGAAAAAGAAACCCAGATGAGATAAAGACAAGAAACGTCACCACGAATATAGCAGACAGGGCAGAGAGCAGCAATACATTCTGTCCTCTAGCTGAAAGTGGTCACAGTTGAGACTAATTGATGTCCTGGGGTAAAAGGAAGTCGACACTCGAACATACATTCTGTTGGGGACCGCAAGCTGATCGTCCACGCCAGTCGGCAAGATACCAGGTGTTGTTGTTATTATTATTATTATTATTATTATTATTATTATTATTATTATTATTATTATTATCATTATTATTAGTGAACGATTAAATAAATTGGATTCAAATTCGATTATAGTTTTACCATCGACATGATATTATAATCATTGTCGTGTTTTCCTGTGTGGGTTCCATGGATGTTGGGGGTGTGGCGGGGGTGACCTTCTGTCTCCCTAACAAGTATATCGTAAGAGTGGACCAACATGGGTATTCCCTCGAAATCGGCATACATCTGCCGGAGGGCAGAGAATGAACTGTGTGCAAATCAAAAATAACTGATGTACACGCAAAACTCAAGTTCTGGAACAACACTAAAGTCCAAAAGTGGACGACCAACCAGAACTTCTCACACCAGAGTTTACAGCCAGTGAACGCGAAGAAGAGGAGGAGAGATTGTCATGTTGATCCAGACTATAGCTGGGTACCAGAAAATGTAGTGGAACGTAAAAGCGGTTGGCTTTCTTTTTATAATTCCAAACACCTAAAGCGTCAACGGTGTGAAAAGGGCCCTTTTACCTTATCAACCAGGAAATCGAGATTTAAAACATACACACACGCGCGCGCGCACACACACACACACGCACGCACACACAAACAAAACAATCATACATCACCGAAGAAAGAAAAATTGGGGTGGGGGAGGATAGAGGCGCTAAGCCTCTTTACATTTTTTAAGGGACTCTTTAGTTTAGAAGCCTTGTTTAATTGGGTTAAAATAACAAAGTCAAATAGCAAATAAATATATTTTAAATTGTGTTTTGTCTTTCCAGACGATAGTGTTGTCCTGTGCTGTATGTGGGAAACACATCCCATGGCGATGGTGAGTGTGACTAGCGAGACTCATTCGCGTTTATAAAAAGTTTCCTTCAAAAGAATGTAGGATCTGAACGATTTAAGAGAGAAGAGAACATGTGTATAATCAGTGTGCTACGGCAATAGTCAGCGGCTTGTTGTGTGCTGTCTGAGTTACACACTAATCAGCACACTAGCAAGTGTCCAGCAGGTACAACTTTCGCTCCCTCTCACTAGAAGCAGGACTCGGCGACAGTAGTTCCCTCACATAGCATATTTATTCGACATAACACAAGAGGGTATACATAAGCCCTCATATCAACAAAACTGCACAGACGTAGACATTGATCCCAATTGACATTCGCTCATAGTCCATTTAGTCCTCACTCGCTCTCTCTCAACTTGTAGCGACCTCTCCCTGACTACTACAGCTCCAAAGGCCTACAGCGTCCCACAATTCTATGCACGCCGTACAGCTGAATAGGACGAATTCTCCTATCCACTGGACCTTAATATTATTTCAGCAGACAACCACGGCTGACTGGAGACGGACTTCCCTTGCCGTTCTCCAAAAGCACACAGCACTCAGCCTGTCGAAGGGCTCAGATGACCGAAATGACTTCTAACACAAGTCCCCTCTTGCACACAGCTCTCGTCGGCAACCCCCCCCCCCCCCCCGTTCTGTTTCCGTAGTGACCCTACGTCTCCTCGCGTCGTCACCCAGAACAGGTACTATTGGAGCATCCCGTCTCCTTGGACTTACTTTGCCAGCGGGACTATACCTTCGACCAGTACCGCAACATCAACCCTTACTCGGACCTTGATGCCTGATAGTTGTACGGTACTCTGTTATACTCGAAAGAGATAATCACCGACCCTGACTTGGTCTCTCTCTCGCTCTCTCTTGCTTTGACACTCAGACTCTGACTGACTCGCAGCACTCTCGTGCTGGGTGTGTATTACAATTACACCCGTACTTTCCCAGTGCTTTAGCCCTGTGGTTACAGCTCACTGACGGACTGTCTACGCAGACTAATTTATCTCTGTCAAACTCAGGTAGGTTACACGAGAGGCACGCTCGTGTGGGGGGTCTCGGGAAACATGATCATATTAGTGTTCTCGAGACTCACGCTCAAGGGAGCGTTCTCAAGGACCCCACTTATGTGAGTGGCTGATGTTACATGAGAATCACGCTGTCACGTAATACACCCTTTCTCTGTGGGTCTCGTTATCCATGCTTGTCAACCCCCACACAGTAAACCCACGCGTCTACTTTCTCGTGCGTGCACGCCTCGTTCATGATTTTCACTGGTCAACACCCCCCCCCCCCCCTCAATACTCAGGCCAATGTTGACACTTATCCCCGTGAATTCACAGAAAGTACTATCATACCACTCTGTCCCTTCACACAATATTACACTCTCCCAAATCAGCACGCAACACGTCTACACCTTAAGACATTTTAGGCAGGAGATGGAGAATCTATGAGTATGACCGACGTGCTTTGATGTCGATCAGTAATCAGGGTTGCCGATTCAACATCATCTCCTGAATCATCTTCTCGTCCTGCCTTTTTGAGAACATTGAGAATGTTGGCCCGGTCCATTGCTTTTTTCTCTACCTTCCGGGACCCTGCTAGCAACCCAAATC